TGCAGAGATTCACCAAAATTGACCAATATTATTTCGCATTGTAATACAATTTGTAATCAGAATGATACAATATTTTGATCTAGTCATATCGAACACTTTAAGGAGTTTTTGCTCAAAATGACAAGGAACATATAATAAACAGGCGCCGTAAAGGATCGATAATTGGGGAGGGGGCTAATATTCATATATTCATATATGCAGGCTTAAGCTCTTTTGAAATCCATTGTTTTCTATGGATTACAACATGAATATATGAATATGAGCCCCCCAATTATCGATCCTCTGCGGTGCCTGAAACTTGTATGCCGAAGGTTCATCTGAATTGTCATAAGCTCTTTTTTGATGACGACATTAACTTAAAACTGAATTATTTTGTGTTGTTCAACACCTAAACTTTGTAAACTATAGCTTTGGAAAATCGTCCAGTGTGCACAAATGCTTCTTAAGCTATTTTTATAGTTATTATGGATATTATTATTATCTCACACAAACAATCTCATGAAGGGATTTTGAATCGAAAATGCTTAAAAATATTGGGCGCAAGGAGACATAAAATATCCTGAGATGACGAGATAACAAGGAAAAGCATAATCAAGGAGTATATGTTGAATGTTAGAAAGTATATCACTACGTATGGAAGATACAATTTATAAGTGCCTTATACATAAATTTGATAGTATAACTTACTTTCATAGTCGTGGTAATATTCCGTTCCTTCACCTTTAGACTCGTAACGTTCTGTCAATTGAAAAGTCACCAAACGTGTGACAGTATTTTAGTCAATGAAATTCGACTCTGAAAAAACCTTAAAGATATATCTATAGTTGGTGCATAAAGACATAAAATCTCTAGACGACAATTATCGAGATAAAAAGATCAATAAAGTCTATGTATGTTCTACGATAAAATGTTGGTAAATATATCAATATTTTTGCATGTATAGCTTACACACAATTTACGAGGGTCTCGCATAAATTTGATTGTATATAACTTACCGTCATCCATGAAGTAACTTTTCATTCGTTGAAGGCAACTCTATAAATTCTGTGTTATCCTAGGTGAATATCAAACTTAAGAAATTCTACAATCGTAAGTACATATTTATCAAATCTTCGTCTTTCTCACTCGTTGAAATGAAAAGATTAAAATAGAATTCTTGCACAGTATATTAATATTCAATCATTAAGGCGTTTAAATTACATATAACATCATAACCTTCAACGCCGTACATCAACAAAGCAACTTTCCGTGATTATTAGCCTTAACATAGATGAAAATTTATAAAAATTAAACATACGCAGGAAGAAAATTTTTAGAAATTGTACTCATCCTTGTTAAACGTTACTTGTATCAATGTTTTAAAACATCCAACTGTATGAAGTTAATCGTCAAAAATCTACGATAATCATTTGATGCACGCTAAATAAGGGTGTTTTTTTTTACAAATTATTGTCGAAACAAAAATATTTATCATAATAGTAGCAAAGTAGCTACATCTTAGGGGAAAGCTTATTATTCACAGATTCTGAAAATTATGATTACCAAACGAAACAACAAAATCACAAAAAACGTGTCACAGCAACAAGGTAGCTATAACAAGGTATAGAAAAGACTACTATCGTCAAGTTTCATCTTTATAAACTTGATTTATAATATATTAAGTGCAATGGTTTACTTTCACCAACTATGATGAAGCTAGCACAATCAGGGACACCTTTAAACTCAGTGAGGCAATGGGGTCTTTGTCAATGTGAACGTAATTGGAAGTTACTTTTTCCGTACGAATCTCTACCAAGAAATTTAAAAGCATAAATCAAAACACAATCCGCTTATTGCAATCACAGCAAATGGAACGTTTTATAGTATAACTGTTTAATGTTTGTGATTAACCATTGATTGCAGTCGACTAGTTTCAAAAAAAACACAGGAGATTCTAAATTTGGACAACCGAATCAAACAAGGCACTACCATGCAACACCTAATGAGAAGAAAAAAACCTTAAGGGTATTGGCATGTAAGATATACAGTATTAGAATTTAGAATAGTCCGTTCATCTAAAATGCAAGAATTCATTGAAAAATGTGATATTACGCGTGTCAATGACACACTTCATTGCATAACTATTTAAGATGCAAATATTTAAAATAACAAGAAAAAGATCTTTGTTCATTCGATACAAGCGATACCGAGAATTTGTATTTTATTTTCCTATTATCATTCTTTCCTGGTAAATGTTCAAAAAATGATATTACGCGTGTCAATGACACAATTGCAACTATTTAAGATGCAAGATTTAAAATAAAAGAAAAAGATCTTTGTTCATTCGATACTAGCGATACCGAGAATTTGTCTATTTTTATTTTCATATTATCATTCTAATCGAATTCTTCCTGGTAAATGTTCAAAATTATTTTTTGTTAACTGTAACTAATAAGAGACTGAAAGATATGTGTTAAAAACAGAAATTGGGGATTTGTACATGGAATTAAAGACTGTTACGCTCAAAAAAACTAAATTGAATTTGTGAAGTCTTTTGTTTTGTATAAAGGTAATAATAAAATGTTAAGAGCTTTTCATTTAGACATTGGAAGTTCGATTTAATCGCCAAGAGACTGACTTTCTATCTTATAGAAAAATCCAATACAAACTATTGGCGATTGAATCAAACGCCTGACGCATGAAATGTTCTTGAAATGGTTATTAGGTTATTGAAAGAATTCACAAATGCAATCTAGAATAGCAACGTGTAGTTTTTATCCAGTAAAAAACATGTCACAACTATGTTGGTAAAAATTCTCTCACCTTTAAAAGTTTCAACAACCTCCACTTCTTCACCGTTTTTGCTTCCGTCTGACAGCACGAATGTCTTCTTCTGCAGCTCGTGACCTTGAGAGAAATAAATATTTCTTTTACAATGTAGCATTTCAAATTCAAAATATTATAGCTGGAAAAACATGCTTTATGGAGATTTCTCTAAGCAGATTTCGTAAATGACTGCATTTCAGTATGCTCACAATCGTAAAGTTGAAATGTGTTTGAAAAAAGTATCCTCTACAAATAAAGAGTTATTATAAATAAACATTAATTCCAATAAATCTTGCGTAAATCTACCAATAGCAAAACACAAATCGTTTATGAATGGACTGTTTCCTAAATTATTCAACTGGAAGTTTCTTTATATCATACTGGATGATGGCTTGGGCAGCAAGAAAAAATCCTTACTTTATCGTTTCTCTCACCATTTTGCTGACCTTGCAACTGCTCATGAAAAAAACTTCTGACATTTTGTGAATTTGACAAAATGCATTAACAAAAATAGGTACGCTTGCGTACGCAAAAAGATTGAAACAAGTGGAGTTGCAGTCACTTTAACACGGGATAAGAATTTTCTAGTATGCATAAATTTAACAGTTCGCAATTGTTATGAGACCATCCGGCAATTGCGATGAAATATGAGTTATGTTTGATCACATTTATCAATGCTTCAAGACCTGAGATTTAAATTCTGTTTAAACAATATTACTATTTTGAAACATTTAATTCATTGATTGACAACTTGTTTTATCATGATACTTTGAACTCCTGATACTAACAACAGAATTGTCATTATTTGTGGGGGGTTGAAAAAAATGTTTGAACTTTTTGTAAATAAGAAATTTGATAAAAAGGCAGTGCAAAACAAGAGAGTGTCATCACAGACATGATGTCTGCCACTCTCTTGTTTTGCATAGCCTAATTTCTCGGACAAATAAAATAACTCACCTTCAATGTTGCAAACAGACCAGTGAGACCTCTCCCAGAAAATTGTACAGCTCAATATTAGTGCAAACTAGATAGACAGTAATGAGTAATTGTAAACAAACATTAAAAATACTCATTGCAGATACATTTTCATTCAGTGACTGTGTCCAAGTTATGAAAAATATGCATGAATTTAGCATAATAATAATGGAATCCAACAATTATATACTTTTTCGGAGCCCATTTGCAGATAGTTGAGGTGTTTTTTGATTGCATAACAAAATAATGTGTTAATGAAAACTATAGTAAGAAATAGCTTTAGGTGAACTTATGTAAGGAATTCTCTTTTCAATAATACAAAAATCAGGTGCACCTTTACATGAAAATACGATCTTTGGCCGACTCTGGCCAGCAAGGGTGCAAATATTTCCAAAGTATTCTTTCACAACAGAGGAATGTTTTCAGAATGGGCCTGAAATTAAATAAGCAAATACTTGATTTAATGATGTTACATATAATTACTGGTAAACAAAATAATAGCACATAATAAATGGTTAAAATTTCTCAACTAAATAAGTCTTCATTTTCCACATATCACAAGTGTTTGATACCTTCATATCAATCACCAACAATTTACACATAAATTCATTCAATTTTCCTTGAGCTTCAAAGAAATAATCAAAAACAAATCCTAAAACACTTCTCCAATGTTTTTCCAGAAATATATCCCACAATTACCCATGACATTATTTTTGTTTAACCTTGGACATTTGTTTACTGGACTATTTAATGTCATGGCATTTTTCATTTGATCTTAGTATAATTGCATTAATCATGTCAGATGATACCACAAATAAAAATAAGCCTTCACTTTGTAGCCCTTGTTCAAGCTTTCATTTAATATCATACAGCAACTTATCTCACTATATCTCATTCAAATTTAATTATAAATTACATACTTGAATAATTACAAGCTAATATACACAAAATTAACAAAAGAGCCTGAATTTTATCTATAACCATTAACCAATACCTGCATAAAACTATTTTCATTTAAGTTCATTTTGTAAATATATATATTTTTGCTAACATTTAATAAAGATGTTTCCATTTGAAAAAAATTCAAAACATTCATCTTACTTGTCCCCAGTTACTTTCTTCAGCCGATAATAAAACTTATTGTTTTTCCATGGCCTGATGTCTTTTGAACAGCCACAAACGTCTGCCCTCCACAGCAATCAAACACAAGTTCCTAAACTGCATAAATGATCGGTGTAAACTAACAAACCAACAAGAGCCTAGAGAGGAAATTTGATCTATAAAAAACATTAACCCATATATATCCATCATATCTAATATCTACTCACATTGAAGCGTTGATGATAAACAAACTGTGAATCATTGTGATATCTACATATACTAAACCTATAATAATACTCATTTTAATGTCACTACCGACTCACCCTGAATGGTTGATGATAAACAAACTGTGAATCATTGTAAAATCCACAGATAATAAAACCTATAAAAATGTATTTCTCCTTTACTTAACAAGCTTAATGGTTATAAAACTATTTTCATGTAAGTTCATTTCGTAAATATTTATTTATATTATTGCCAACATTTAACCAACATTTAAAAGCGATGTTTCCATTTAAAAAAATTAAGATTCATGTAATCATCTTACTTGTCCCCAGACCACTGAAGACTCAACGGCCTTTACCAGCTACCTTACCTAACTTATCTTTAATTATGGTCGTGAAGATTTTCGTCTCAATCCCATGATCCCAATTGATAACAAGTCAATGAATTGTAAGAGTCCCAAACAGTTATAAAATATAACGACAGATGAAATACCATGCACTGGGTACAAGGAGAGATGTTCTGTTTTAGTCGATTTTAATTTTGTTTAGAAAAACGTATTTCGAGATAGGAATGGACCGTGACTTCCTTCAGTTTTTTATGAATATGCTACAGAGTCCCCGGAATCTACAAACTTGTAAAAACCTTAAACATAGACTGCATTCTGGAAAACAACTTTGTTCAAATCCTGAATTTAATAAATAAGTCTCATTCTACTCGCTACGAACGCCCTGCAGTGGGCTAGCTGTTCGAATTTTGAAAGCTGGTCATTTGCATCATACAATATGATTTATACCAAAATGCTGGCAACTTGATTCTGTTGTTGTATGAAATCTTTTTTAACTTATCATTAACAACAAAGTGCATGTCACTTAATTTTATCAGCTGCTTTTCCACCCAACTGAAACTCGCAGTCTGGCACTGTAAAGTATTTACTTTGTTCTAATGTTATAAATAGATTTGACTATGTTCTCGTGGAGTTTTAAGAAAACATATATCAAGGAATAATTTTCTACTTCTTTGCAGCAACCCAGTAAATACCTTTGCATTGACGCAAGAAAAGAGACGATCATAGCTGAGCCATCAAAAACACAATTGGCGACAAAAACTGGTCCACATGATCTACCATTTAATGTTAAACTAAAGCATTCACGAAAAAATATACGACCAAACAAACATATGATTAAAAAAGTGAGCATGTATTTTCATTTACACTACGATACTCTTCAGTATTAAGAATTACAGGTCGATCACGGTTTGTCTCAGAAAACGATAATCAATGATTGATTAATGGTTATCGATTACACATTTAAGTGTAGTGTACAAAGAAAAGTTAAAAACAAACGACAAACCCGATTGCTAATTACAAAATAAAATTTCTGTTTTGTTTTCTTTAGACGACCAACCCCAACAGCCATTGCAAGTTGAAAACAAGACTAGCAATAGAATATGTTCGTAGTCTTCTCCCGGATAAACCACCACAAGATCGTCCCGTATCTCGACAAAATGGTTTAAGAAAAAATGGACCGTTGAAGACTCTCTTTTTCCCGTCAAGATTTCTTTCTGAGCCTAGCGTTGCCAAATGTCTAGGCATCCAAAATGTAAATTCCCAAATTGAGGATTACGCTTTTCTTGAAAAATCTTATCGAGGGCCTTTTTGGAGAGCTAAGTAATTTTTTATTAGCATCTCTATATTGAGATGAGCAGATATTTCTGCAAATGAAATGTCGCAAAGTTTTATCATCATTTTGTTTAGCTTGGATTTTTTGTGCTATTCACTTCTAGATTGCTTCAAGAACTCTTTCGATGGTTTTCAAGTTTGTGAAAACGTCCAAAGTCCGGATGTATCAAGGTGTTCTTCAGCCAGCCAACGGATCTCTCAAAACATCTTGACCGTTGATCTCCGTAGGCAGTCGCTGGCAGAACAATGTGAGACAACTCAACTAGATCATGGTGATGGTGTAAAAGGGGATGATAGAAATGACTTTGTACAAAATCAACGAATCATTTCTGTAAATGAAGAAGCAAATGACAATGTTATCGATATTCATGATTCTAATGCTTCCAAACAGGCAGCTGGTGTTAATGTTTGCACTGGTCAACTTTCTAAAGGTGTAAGGGATTTAGATAGCAAGAAATCATGTAGCACAGATCCTTTAGATAGAATCTACGATGCAGATATTCATAATGTTAATAGCTCACATGATGATAAGGACAATCATCTAAAATCAACTCACTGTAATGTGGAATTATCTTCCAGTGATAGCGTAAAAATAGACGATGATGTTTATAAATATGTAATCATTGAAACGTTATCAGTTTCTTCAATAACGTGCTACTTTTTGACAGAAAATGACTTTAATTTGCTGGAAATTCGTTCTTCACAAAAGAACACTAAATGCAGAGTAACAAACATGTCACTTAGTAATTCAACAGAAGAAAACAAAGATGACTCTTTACTACTCCAAGTTCAAAGAACATATTGAACATGATAGTTTTTCAAACTTAGATATACAAAATACTAACTACTTAGAAATGTTACAAAAAAAGTGCACAATGTAATCGTCAAATTCAAGAAACACCATTTATTCAAGGAAAAAAAATGCCAAGCGTAAATCAGACGAGGACAGTGTCCACGCGAGAGATATTTGGAAAGCTTTGGTGGACGGTGGCTGTGACGTTTCTAGAAAAGAAACCTCAAAATACAAAGTTGAGTCGACAGATTCAAGACAAAAATCTGCACCCTCGAAACGAAACAGTTTTATAAATCATCAAAAGACAAATCATGTTCTTCGAAATAAGTCTGCAAATTACAACAAGGAGAGCATTGAAATTCCTGTAAATAAATCAATGGGTTGCTTTTTGCCAAATGATAAAAAAACCTCAATGTTTCGTCCCCAAACTAGATGAGAAAAAAGAGGTACATATAGCTAAAATGTGAGATTGATATTTTTTAGTTTATGAGATTAAATCAGCTCAACAAAAAAGTTGATACTTGGACTTGGAAAGTGAAATGACCATCTGCTTCACTTCTTGTAGTTAGAACAAAACAAAGGAACTTTTAAAAACGGCGAGACCAATCAGCTTGAAATTATTGCAGTAAGGAAACCCGTGAATAAGCTATCAAGGTAAAACTTTAAATTGAAAAACAAATAATCAGTAAATTTCATAGAATATTCACAAACCTTGTTTTCTATTTAGAAAAGAAAAAGTCTCCGATTTCTCTTGATGGAAGTTTGAAGTCAACACGAGCCCGAAATTGGGTCCTTTTTTGTACTTTCCATATGGTTTGAATATGAATCAAAACAGGTATAATGATTTGTAGCTACTGTCATCTGTACTTAATAGAAAATATCTTTTTCTTTGACGAATTTGGGGCTTGCATTTAGGTTGTCTGTACAACTACGGTGCAAAATAAGATCACGTCTTTGGGGATTGCTATTTGCCTATAGACTTGTTTTTAATAAACAAGGTCAGAAATAACAGAAGCAGTGTCTTTAAGAGAGTTTTCAAAATCAGTTTTATTGCCATTAACTCTTATGTGCATTTGGTAGTGACATGGACTTTCCAAACGTAGTCCAAGATCCTGAATGTTCCGTAGAAGGTTGCGTTTATGAGCTATCGTCAGAATATCTACCGCTTCTGAATATATGTATTGCATCTCCAAAGGTAAACCAGCCACTTTTAAATTTTCCCTTGACACTTAATTTGCTAGTCCTCGGTCTTCTTTCTATCAACCTAACAAAAATTTTTTTGCAATAATAACAGGGAATCAGCATTTATATACGTGCAAGCAATATATCTAATACAAAAGTAGAAAATTCAACCATATACTGTCCAATTTGAACAATCAAATAAGCAAATATAATGTATAAATCTATATCAATAATTATGCTTCTCTAGCATTAAAAGAGACTGGTTCTGCCTGTTTGGATGTGTAAAAATCCTGCTCGATTTGAGCATGGTATATGACAATAATGTGTTGCTGCAGTTGTTTATGTTGCTCAAGAAAAATATATCTCGCCAGGTGAGTGAAGCTTTCGTTTCCTCTTACATACCAAAAGCTACTTTCTTTTCATGATTTCACTCCCAAATTGCAATATGATTTTGCATGCAAAACTCATTGAAAATTCAAACAATGCCACACAAACTCGGGTTTTATGAAAGCCAATGAAACCAAGCACAAATAAACTTATCATAGGAAGACATGATGGAAGGCGTTTTTACCGAAATTCAATTTCTTTTCCTAGATTTTGTGCAACTGGATACTTCATTTACCTTGAAGTAGTACTTTATAAGAACTGATTTACTTACTCCAAACTAAGATGAATATTTAAAAAGTTTCAGTATAAATCACGAAAAGTTTCAGGTATAAATCACGCTTTTGCCCTTTGGGAATACTTTTAAGTAACCAACATGAGCGCAAGTCAACGCGTAATGCTGTTCATCTTAAGCAGAACAAAGTCAACGCGCCATACATTGATCTATTGAGTTCATCATATCGACTTACCATAACATTGTTGGATAGCTGTTGGATTTCTATTTTCTTACGTGGGTCAACATAACGTAATTCGATGTAATCTGAAGCTTTCCATTCAAATTTGTCATCGATTTCTTGCTTTAAAACATCCTCAGTCTTTGATTCGTCAACTTCAAGATACATGTGACGATAATTCATCTCATAAGTAGGACGTGCTGTACCATACTTGCCACAAAGCCAAGGAAAACTGCAAATGTGGAAAAGTGAAGATATTCGATGCCTTTTCCTCGTGGCAAATAAGTCAAAATTGACGTAAAAGCGATAAAAAACATTTACCTTTTCAAATTTTCATGGACGCTATCGTTAATTTTGTGATCCTTTGTGAGAAAACGTTCTTTAAATTCGACTGTGTTGGGAGTGGAAGGTTCATCTACAAAATATTACATAAAATGAATGTCACTGGACTTAGAATCTCCTAAAACAAAAATATCAAATTTACCAGTTTTTGAAGATGACTTGAAACTACGAGAAGTAGATGAATTCAAAATTTTTTCTTTGCTGCCACTGGAAAGTTCACCTAAAAAATTTAATACGTAACAATGACACTGGACTTTGAATCACTCAAACAAAAAATATCAAATTTACCAATTTTTGAAGGTAACTTGGCACTCAGAAGAGAAATTTTTTTCTTTTCTTCAACTAAATGGTTAAAGTTATCATTATTCACTCATGAAAATATTTTGTGCGATTCTTAGCTACAATCCTCAGCACTGCTTATACATAATTTATTATAATTATTTCAATTTATGATTTTCTCACTAATAAAAAATCCCACCACATTAGATATACCTTTGAATGTTGATGCACTGCTTCTTGGTTCTTCAAGACAGGTATACAAAAATGAACTTGACTCTAAAACAAATAAAAGATAGCGTTAAAAACATAAACTCTTTCACCTCAGTAAAGAACATGCCAGGTTTTTTTAAACAGGAATATACAGTGCCATTTCGAAATTGAATTATAGGATAGTTGTATCATTTGGACTTTTAACACCTTTTGATAAAAATATGACAGAAAATCATCATATATTTGCACATAGATCGTAAAACAAACATTTAGCTACCGAAATCAATGTTTTCTAATGACAATACAAAGTAAAACCTTACAACTGTAAATATGATCATGGAGCTATATAACATAGGTACGTTGTGGAAACTCAGCAGCAGAATATAAGAATAAATAATGATGCAGGTATTTAATTGACGTTTCTTTCCATCAACTACTTTGTTTTCCACAAAATGTATGGTATCTAGAAATATTTGCTAGTGTAATTACTTAAAATCAAGCGATATTAAATACACATATATTTTATTAATCAAAGTTTATAATTACAATCAAAGTTTCGACATTGTAAATCGTAAATTGAACTCTATACATATAGCTACTTAATTTGTATGCAGTAAAAATAAATTTCGAATGCTTTACTTACTCGTAAAATGTTTTTTGAGATCAGGTCTTGTTTTCCAGTCAGTCGACCTTATAACTTTGTGCACCCGAAGAGGAAACTCTGGGAAAACTTGCAGGAAATACTCTTTATAGTTGCCTTGCTTCACATGTGGTGATAGGCGTGGACCAGGTTTATCATGCCAGTGCAAGTGAACGTTTCGTATAAATCTTAAACCACCTGCCCAATGTTGTCTCATTTTCTGAAAATAGGTTTGTATGCAACCAATTCATTCCTATCCATATGTAACCAAAAGCTTGGTGCAACTGTCTTTCTTAAACAGATGGGTAAATCTTAGTTAAAATGTCCAAAAAGGAGTTGGAAAAAGTTAGCTTACCCCTACGACTTAAGTCGAATGGAAATATATTATAAGTAGGTATGTAATTTTTTTGAGTTTTTTTTGGTGGGATTGATTCTGGGTGTCTTATAAAGTATTATGATATTCTGATAAATCTAATGAGAACTTATGAAGAAATTATCTTGAACTAAGAAGGCAAAAGAACGAAATTCAGAAATTCTATAATCATGTTGCTGGTTCTGTTTTGAGCGAAGATATTAGAAACTGGATTGTCATTGAAAACCATGGATCTACTACTGGACAGAACTACATTACTTTCCCATTGAAAACACGATTTCTTAAATTAAAGTGCATTGGTTTCTCTGACATAACACTTTTCTTATTGATAAAAGTTTTTGTGCTTGGCATTGATATTTTATATAATCGCAATTGTGGTTGTCAAATCCGGGTAGGCGAAAAAAATCTTATTTTATGACCCCGCGTCTTTCCGCTAATAATTTATAGTAATTTTGTTGACGTTTCCCCTCCAGGTCTTATAGAACTCAATGGCCATATATCATTGGCGATATTAAATTTAAGTGCGATTTCTAGCGTATCAGTAAAAAAGTTTTTGATTTGATCAAATTATTCCATTTTTATGGCGGTTTAAAGTTGTGAAAATGCCCTTTTTGATGGACGATGTTCGTCTTAAGAAAATAATGGGAATGCAATACATTTCCAATGACCAATTCAAAGCCATATGAATAAAATTGTTCATGTATCGTCTGTTTTGTCATATCAAATTAAAAAACGAATAAACACGTGGCGGAGGAAATAAGAAAGACTTATTCTAAACCATGAGCATTTCATATTTTTACTATGTCTCTAAAGTTAAACTAGAGTATTTTGTATATACTAAATTTCTTCTTAAGTCGATATTTATTGATAAAACTTACTTTTTAAATTTTTCTTCGTTGTGAAACGTCTTCCTGCCAAATGATGTTAACTTAGCGAGTGTCGGGAATTATGTTTAATAAATTGCCATGTTTATTTAGAAATTTCAATCATTATTATTTAAACTGAACACTGACACGCAGTTTTTTCTCTTTATAGGCCCGTTTACACGTGCAATTTTAACATGAAAATTTTTATGCGACAAATACATTTGACCGTGTAAACGACACCAAATATATGTAAATATATCTGTTCCCATGGCGATGATGTATTGCGCCCATTGTAATAATGAACAGTTACATGTTCATACTTCATTTTACGACGTACTTTTAATGCAATGTTTGTGCAAAAATGGCTCTGACCAAGGCCGAAAAACTTCAAGCAGTATCTATTATTACATCTCTAATGGTGCACGAAGTGAAAAAAAAAGAAAGTCACGACGATGGTGGGTAAAACCGTGGAAAATTGCGCAGCGCTGATACGCACAAGGGTTAGCACAAAATTTAATTCAAGAGATCCGAGTGACTGACCATGATGTATTTAGAAATTTGTTTCGGTAAGTAAAGAAATGTGATAGTCTTTTTATTCATGCACTCTTCAAAATTAAGCTAGTCAGTGGATTGTACAATCAATTCATATTTTACGTTCTTTTTTTAATAATGAAATTTTCTTATTTTCTTTACTTTTATTTACAAATTATAATCTTTACTACTTTTAAGGATGGGTTCCATTTTGTTTGATGAGCTATGTGAAAAGCTAACACCATTCATAGCAAAGAAAAACACCACTATGAGAGATGCTATATCTGTTCTTGATCGCTTGTGTGTAACATTAAAGTTCTTAGCATCAGGATGCTCATACAAAGATTTGATGTACAATTTCAGAATATCAGTTTCATCTATTTCAAGAATTGTACCTGAGGTTTGTGAAGCTTTGTATAATGTGCTGAAGGAAGAATATTTAAAGCCAACCACAACAAAGCAACAATGGTTACACATTGCCAATGAATTTAAGTGCAAATGGTACTTTCCCCATGCAGTTGGCAACATTGATGGTAAACATATCAACTTGTATGCACCTCCAAACTCAGCGTCTGAGTACTTTAACTATAAAAAACATTTTAGCATAGTCCTCTTAGCTATTGAAGATGAAAATGCTAAATTCATCTCATTTGATCTTGAAGCCCCTGGCAACCAGTCAGATGGAAGAATTTTTAAAGACAGTCACCTTAAAAACATATGCAAGACATGCTATTTCCCACAAGCTGAAGAACTAAGAGATACATTATTGCCTATACCTTACTTTCTGCTTGGAGATGAGGCATTTGCTTTGAATGAAAATCTAATGAAACCATATCCACACCAGACTGCAATAGGTGATGAGAAAGTTTTTAACTATAGACTTTCACGAGCACAAAGAATTGTCGAAAATGCATTTGTATTGATGTGTAGTCAATTCAGATGTCTTTTGAGAACATTGGAGTTGGATGTTCCAAATGCAATGCAGGTGGTGAGGGCCTGTATGGCATTGCATAACCTTTTGATTAGTCAGAAGGACAGGGTCAGGGAAGGAAATGTTGTGAATGGTTCTTGGAGAACACAATTAGGCGATGAAAATGAAGTATGTGACATCCAGCCAAATGCCAGTGCCCGCCCATCATCAATTCATGCAAGACAAATCAGAAATGCTCTTAAAGACTATTTCTTTGACGAAGGGGCAGTTGATTTTCAATGGACAATGACAAACTACAAAATTATAACAGAGGTTACTTACGGTTACATAGAAGGTAATTATTTTGCAGGAAAAATTGCTTGGGAATGAAATTGGGATATTAAACAATCTAAGGAATTCATTCAATTTTACGGCTTTTTTTCCGTAAGTTCCAATTTTTCCAAACCATCTTTTAATCTCAAGCAAATGTAGAACGTCTCCACTTTTCCGTTTTGGTCTTTCTTCCTCAATTCAGCAACACCATATGCAAAAGGTCCTTTTTTCTTGTTTTCATCATCACAAAAATACACAAGAGATCCTGAATCTCCGTCCATTAGAAACTTAACATCACTTTTTACCAACACTGCGTTACAAAATACGGGTTTTCCGTCGTCGTCATCAAAATTAAACATTAGATCCTCAATGCTTCCAAAGATTTCTTGAGCTTTTTGAACAATGCTTTTTTCACCACAATGCTTTCTAAGAAAAAGCCTCGAAAATACGTCATGAGAATAGTTCTCCATTTCATCTGAAATATTTTCCATTTTAACTTCATCAACTTTGATGGCCATGATATCAGTTTCACGTCCAAAATCAAAATGGGAAAAATTACCAACAACTTCGTCATCATCTGAGAGATAATATTTATTTTCTTCCATAAATCGCTGAGTGGCATTTCTGTTTACTTCAATTTCATATTGAATTGCCAAAAACGGGTTAACGTCATCGTTCCGTATCCGGCCAATTTCATAACCAACGTGGAAACAGCTCAACGCGTATTGTTTTCCATCTTTCATGCGGAACATTGCCACTGGATCGCATGTAAGGAATATCATCGCGTTCCACTTCGAGTCGCTTGTTGGATAGAGGTCGAATCTTCCACACCTTTGACGGGTCGTTTGGTCGGAATTCGATGTACTTTGAAGCTTGCCAACAAAATTTCTCGTTGATTTCTTGTTTCGTATTATGATCAGTTATTCCGTTAGCGTAATCAACGACCATGTACAAGTGAAGATATGGCATCTGGTCAGTTGGACCCGCTGTTCCACATTTTCCACAAAACCAATCAAAGCTGCAAATGTGGAAAAATCACGGAAAGATTGAACAATAAAGCAGAAAAATATTTTCGCGTGGATAAAAACTCAACTGGAATTGAAGGAATATCAAAAAAACACAAATAGTGAGATTTACCTTTTCAATTTCTTATGCACGTCATTGCTCATTTTGAAATCGTCGGTGAGAAATTTTTTTTTTAAGAATTGAAAGTCATCGGTACCTACATATCCTCAGATAGTTGCATAAAATTAATATCAACGGTTAAACATGCAATCCATGGTAAATAAAGTGTCGATTTTTCCTGTAATTTCCGATGTCAACCGAGCACCAGTTGATGTGACTGGATTCTTATCTATCAATACAAATTTATGATTTTTAGTTGTTCTGAGTGTGCACTGTTTTCAAGTCTAAGATAATGATAAATCATAATCATTAAATACCATTAACATTTTACGAGAGTTTCATGTTTTTTAATTTTTCTGACGGTGGCTGTTGATGAACACGGGACCAGTGGGACCTCTCCCAGAAAACTGTACAGCTCAATATTAGTGCAAACTAGATAGACAGTAATGAGTAATTGTAAACAAACATTAAAAATACTCATTGCAGATACATTTTCATTCAGTGACTATGCCCGCATGAATTTAGCATGATAACGGAAACCAACAATTATATACTTTTTCGGAGCCCATTTGCAGATAGTTGAGGTATTTTTTGATTGCATAACACAATAATGTGTTAATGAAAACTATTAGTAAGAAATAGCTTTAGGTGAACTTATGTAAGGAATTCTCTTTTCAATGATACAAAAATCAGGTGCACCTTTACGTGAAAATACGATCTTTGGCCGACTCTGGCCAGCATGGGTGCAATCTTGTGTGAAGCAGCTGGTCTGAAGGAACTTGTATTGTTTTTCCAAAATGAAGCAGTTCTGAAGTTCAAGAATGGTTTTGGTTGCTAAAATTGTTCCTGTTTGCGCAGCCCTCCACTTGCCATTTGATTCTGATCCTATTTTCAATTGGGTAAAAAGTTTAATAATTGATTCAAGGAAAGATACAACTTCTGTATGTTTTTCATGTGTGTAGAGACTGAAACCCATTGTTGAAGAACGTGAGGTCATCAGGTTGTACCACAGACCAACTTGATCACAAAACCATGCTGTAGTTGTGGCATTCTTGAGCAGGAGTTTTTCCTGAATAAGAAAGCAAATGGCTGCCCTAGTTTTTCTGGATAGTAGATTCTTAGCCATGCTCACTTTCATTTTTTCAAAATGCCCAGGATCACAGCATTTTTCATTCAGGTGTGGTGCAATCTTTAGATTATGCAAAGAATCATAATTAACCAGCTTTTTGATGTGATTTATTGTGACTGCATTTGTAGGTAAATTGCACTCAGCAATGGCATACTGTGGGATGAAAAATGTTTGTCCACAAGTCAGATGATTCCTGATATTCTTCAAAACATGTGGAACATCAGGCATAAATGTAAGTCTCTGACCCTCAATAACAGGATGCTGAATGGTATTGACTATTTCCACAGTATCATTACACTGGCCCAATTCATCATTTTCTCTTTTTACTTTACAATAGATCCCAAATTCCCGAAGAACAGCCTGGTTGCCCCCTCCCATATCCATAGTGACATTATAAACTGTTAAATTGCATTCACTTGCCTTTTGAATTATCTTAATGATAATATCTTTCGCTTCTTTAGCTGAGAATGAATTTCCAATGAAGAAGTAGGCAACAACTTGTTTCCATCTTGTTGTCAAACCACATAACATGAAAACCATGGCATGTGTTGCCATTGTGATTGTGTCTTGCATGTCTTTTTCATTGCTGCCCGGGATAGTGCAAAAGCCGATGACTGACTCAGTTCTTGTGTCAAAATCATATGATGGAATGATTGCCATTTCGTCAAGCAAAAGAACACAGTCTCTTTCTTGATCTCCCATGGAGGAAGCCTTTCAATGCAAATTAACCTTCAGTATACAATATGTATGTATTCTTATGTAGCTACTTTAGAATGCCACAACACAACAGTAATGCTTTTGTGTTTTCTATTAGTTTGTATGTTTACCTTCAATTGCAAGGGTGCGAAAACCTCATTTGTAAGACCCGAGGAAAATTCAATGTGCTCCATTCGTCGATTAAGTGTTCTTATAGAAGGTAATGGATAATTCATCCCAAGTAAAGTGCTGTATCCAGTTGCTCCACAAGAATATCTTATTTGTATAGCACTTTCAATTGTGTTATTTGACCACCAAACTAAAAATAAAAAAATCAAATGTAAATTTTAAGCTTATATTTACTATATTTGTTTTTTTAGTGTGGAACTGCAAAATTTCATTCTTATGCTTCATCAATTTAAAAATGGTATTGCTTAACCTTTTCCATAACCAGGCCTCTTGGAAAGGTAGGCTATTTGGTCTTCATTAAATAAAGCAGATATGTTGTTTGCTAGGTTGTTATGATTTTCTTTTGCTTTTTTCAGCTCTTTCTTCAACATTTCCAATTCCTCTCGCAGCTTTGTGTGACTTTGACTATTTGTGCTACTTTGAGGATTGCTCAAGTCCAACTCATTCACAGTCATTGTAGATTGTACAGAGTCAAGATTATTATCATCTTGGCTACTAGCACTCTCAATGGCAACAGGTTGTGGTCACACTATGTGAACAAGAAGGTAAACATGTGTATATTTCCCATTGGTCAATAATTTATAATGTACTGAAGATGCCAAAACGTTAGAGTACTGACCAGTGTTCACTTTTAATTCTCGTTTAGTTGGACTCTTTCTTCGAAGCACAGGCTTTCGATGTGTGAACAGAGTTGGTACTTCATTTGGTGGAAGTTTGCCGCGGATTTTAGGCTCGAATTGATTCGCTTCGAAGTGAACCTAAAGGAGCCGTACCACAATATCACAACACACAAATGCAAATTTGTTGTAAATCTTTATTAAAAATTTTAAAATTTACATTGTCATTGTCATGTTAATTATCTAAAGAACAACAAGAGTATCATTGGCTCGCAAAGTCTCGCCGACGCCGTGTTAAAGTTCTCTCTTTTTATTGCACAAAGCCATTTCTTTCGTTTTTCGTTGTTTCTCGACCGACCCTGAGGGCATGCGGTACATTTTGTATCCGTCAGATGAACGATTATTGCACCCATACGCGCAACAAAACACCATATTTATCTTAAAAACTGTCAACACTAACAATAATCGCCATGGAAACACTAGTTCAAGCTTCAAAAGTAGGAACCAAAATGGCGGGTTTTGATAAGATGACCGAAACTGACCAATCAGCGTGTACAAATAAGAGAACAATAGTAGATGTCCCAACTCTTATTCTATAGAGGGCTCTGATGAAATTCCCTGAAATAGAAAGGTTTAATAAATTGCCATGTTTGTTTAGAAATTTCAATCATTAGTATTTAAACTGAACACTGACACGCAGTTTTCTCTCTTTATAGGCCCGTTTACACGAGCAATTTTAATATGACAATTTTTATGCGGCAAATACATTTGACCGTGTAAACGACACAAAATATATGTAAATATATCTGTTCGCATGGCGATTGATGTATTGCGCCCATTGCAATAATGAACAGTTACATGTCCATACTTCATTTTACGACGTACTTTTAATGCAATGTTTGTGCAAAAATGGCGCTGACCAAGGTAGAAAAACTTCAAGCAGTATCTATTATTACATCTCTAATGGTGCACGAAGTGAAAAAAAATGAAAGTCACGACGATGGTGGGTAAAACTGTGGAAAACTGCGCAGCGCCGATACGCACAAGGGTTAGCAAAAAATTTAATTGAAGAGATCCGAGTGACTGACCATGATGTATTTAGAAATTTGTTTCGGTAAGTTAAGAAATGTGATAGTCTTTTTATTCATGCACTCTTCAAAATTAAGCTAGTCAGTGGATTGTACAATCAATTCAAATTTTACGTTCTTTTCTTAATAATGAAATTTTCTTATTTTCTTTACTTTTATTTACAAATTATAATTTTTACTACTTTTAAGGATGGGTTCCATTTTGTTTGATGAGCTATGTGAGAAGCTAACACCATTCATAGCAAAGAAAAACACCACTATGAGAGATGCTATATCTGCTCTTGATCGCTTGTGTGTAACATTAAAGTTCTTAGCATCAGGATGCTCATACAAAGATTTGATGTACAGTTTCAGAATATCAGTTCATTGATGGTAAACATATCAAGTTGCGTGCACCTCCAAACTCAGCCTCTGAGTACTTTAACTATAAAAAACATTTTAGCATAGTCCTCTTGGCTATTACAAACAACAAACAAACAACATTTATATACCGGCCAGTATTAATCCCCGCTAGGGGGGTTGACCAGTCCATGAATTTTTCCACGCCAAACGTCTCTATCTCTCGCCATATCTCTCGTTATACCCATCGCCTTCATATCACTGTTCACAGCATCCATCCATCTCTTTCTCGGTCTACCTCGTTTGCGGACTCCATCAACATTCATATGCAACGTTCTACGAATTTCAGCACTTTCTTCCCTCCTTTCCACATGCCCAAACCACCTCAAACGCTGGCGCCTTACCCAATTCTCGATACACTCAACACCAACTTTCTCTAATCTCTTCACTTCGATCCCATCCATCAACGTTACACCACACATCATCCTAAGCATTCTCCTTTCCGTCGACGCCAATCTTCTCAGGTCCTCTGCTTTCGGCGCCCAACACTCTGCTCCATATCCCAAAACACTTCTAACACATGCCTTATACAATTCTCCTTCTGCTTCAACGAAGTCGACTTTCCGCACAACATTCCCGACAACTCTAAAACTCCACCACGCTGCTTGAACTCTGTTCCTCACCGCTTGTTTCGCACCTCCACCATCATTTAGCACATCCCCAGATATTTAAACCTGATACACCTTCCAAACTCACGTCACCCAGTTCAAACCGTTCAATCGCGACTCGCCCACCACTTCGACACGTCCCGCACTCAAAATCAGTTACTCTTGTCAATGCACCACGGACACCTGAACATCTTCCATGAACCCACTTACTGCATTTCCCACACATTATCGAATTCACTCCAACTCTTTTCCCCACACACCACATGGCCATTTATCGCTGTCCTTCACTCCACCTGCCTCGAGCATCTCATGCCCTTCGTCTTTGCCTCATTCACTTTCAGTCCTTTGACTTCTATTGCCGTTTTCCATTCTCGGTACCATTCCATGACTTTCTGCTTCGACTCCGCCACCAAGACAATGTCATCTGCATACAACAAACACCAGCATCCTTCTTTATTCTCACTTCCTCTGTCAGTACATCCATCACACAAAAACAGTAACGGCGACAAGACTGAACCTTGATGAACACCAACTTTTACCTCGAAAACACCAGATCTAACACCTTCCTCCGTAACCACCGCCTCTACACCTTCATAAGTCTCCATAACTGCCCGAACCATATTCTCTGTCACACCTTTCTTACGCAGCGCGTACTCGATCACCTTTCTCGGAACTCTATCAAAATTCATTGGCTATTGCAGATACAAATGCTAAATTCATCTCATTTGATCTTGGAGCCCCTGGCAACCAGTCAAATGGAGGAATTTTTAAAGACAGTCACCTTAAAAACATATGCAAGACATGCTATTCCCCACAAGCTGAAGAACTAAGAGATACATTATTGCCTATACCTTTCTTTCTGCTTGGAGATGAGGCATTTGCTTTGAATGAAAATCTAATGAAGCCATATCCACACCAGATTGCAATAGGTCATGAGAAAGTTTTTAACTATAGACTTTCACGAGCACGAAGAATTGTCGAAAATGCATTTGTATTGATGTGTAGTCGATTCAGATGTCTTTTGAGAACATTGGAGTTGGATGTTTCACATGCAATGCAGGTGGTGAGGGCCTGTATGGCACTGCATATCCAAATCTAAATTGAGAGTCATCTGATTATTTACAGCAAGCTCCTGAAAATCTTCCTCCCTACCAATGACGATGTACATAATATCGACTTCTTTATTAGATACCACTCTCGTTTGATCCGGAACAGGGACAATCGGTTGCCCGTTGTAAAAGTATTCCATGCTTTCTTCGTTAACTGTGGCATTTAGAGATTCTTGATTTCCATAAATTGACTCCGCCACAAAAGTCTTGTTGATGGTCATCCAAATTATTGACAACACCCGCATGAGCATAGGTCAAGGCATAGTACATATCATTCTTAAAGCAGAACATTGTCAATGTTCCAGAACTACCCTGGGTTCTTTCCGCTATAATTTTAGACAGCATTCGAAACTTTGCTTCTTTCAATGGTTTAGATCGTAATTCGATGTATTTCGATGTATTTCCATTTTAACTTTTCATCGATCTCATTTTTGATAGCAGCCTCCGAATTTTCTTTCTCAAAATCAACTGTGACATACAAATGAGGCAACGGCATGTTCATGTTTGGGCGAGCTATTCCATACTTCCCACTAAGCCACGAGCAACTTAAACAAGAAACGATAACTATATATTGTCTAAAAACTATTTTTCGTAATGTTCCGACATGCACAGGTCAACATACATAATCGATATCCCATGAAGAAAAATTACCTTTGGAGCCTCGTGAACGTCAGCTTTAATATTCTTACTTTGCCTAAAGTTTATGGTGTTGTCGTCAAGATCTAAAATATCATAAAATATAACCGATAACTTTGATTGCACCAACACAACTTATTAAAACTTCCTACGATAAGACATGTAGAATATAATTTCACGATACTTTTGAAAAACATAGTCATTCGAGGGTTCAGTTTGAAAGATACAGCGCATAGCATGTTGTTGCATAGGTATAAGATAATATAATACGAGCGTATTATACCAAATATTGCATTGAATTTGTAACTGAAGTTGAGGTCACTTTGTTGAGATTTTCAGTGAATGAGCGTCGGTAACGATGATTTTGAACAAAGAGGGTAATGGCTTTGCATGAGTGTGATTTAAGAAGGTGTCGGTAGACGTGAGAGTTTTGTCTGTTGCGGTATGTTCCTGATCTGCGAGAATGCGCGAAGCCGCCATGATCGGGAATATCCGCACCGAATTATACACCAATTACAATTTCATCAGGGATGTCTTTAAATGCGTTTTGATTTTGAAATTAACGAATGTCAATATCTGCGTTGCAGCGTTTCATACAGTAAGCCCTGGTACAAAAACGCGGAAGTTCGATGGCAGTTTGAAGTATAGAGCTTGCCATTTTGATTATTTGTGTTGAGCCTGATCGCGTCAGGAGTCGGTACTAGGTTATGCCGTTATGTTTGTTGAAACGAGATTGCTTCGCTGTCCTTGTTCGCGAAGCGTGGTACATAATTTTATGTTTTTGCGTTCGTTGCCATTGTTCGTATTGTTGTTTGTATGCTCTGATAGTGCGCGTCCGGTTTGCATGAAGTGTGAAACATAGTTCGTAATGCTGGTTTGCACGTATGTTGTCGTATTCGTCTTCGGTGTCCAGCTGAAATTACTGTTAGGCAATAGTTGTGTTAATGTAATTATAGTTTTCGCGTTAAACAGCAAAAGTAGCCAATGTCAGTAAATAGTAATTGTAAGGCTGTAGCTGTTTACACCATCGCGAAAGCATGGGTGCTATAAGTCCGTCTTCCGACAACAAAAACGGTTCGGTGTCGCCGTTATAAAAAATTGAACGGTCCCGTTATACTGAACGGGGTTGCGAGGTTGGTCGCGCAGCATGTAACATAACGTCGAGATGAAGCCGATGCCGAAAGAGCGTCGAGTGAAAGAATCTTTTGGACGGGTGGTGCCAGTAGAGAACTTAGCTAAATTATATCAGCGTGTGAAATCGTCGTAGGCGATTGTGAGCCGCAAGAAGCGCGAGGGGGAAGATATCACTTGTTGCCATAGAGTCTTTTCTTTCAGCAATTGTCGCGCTTTCAGGGAAAATCTCGGGCAGACGCCGTTTACTTTGCAGGAGCGGTACATTTGACGATCCATTGTCGCCGGTTTGAGAATGATAATGCCTGATTGCGTTTTGCCAATGTGACGTTTTTAGGTCGAATGGCGATAAGATGTACGAGGCGAAGCGAGTGCGCCGTGCCTGTTTAAGACGGTGTTTAGTTTGAGCGATGAGTTTGATCGACGTTGAGTTAAGGCCAGGAAAGTCGAACTCGCCTTTGGTTTCAGGTGATGATAATATTATCAACTATTGAATGGTGGTTCTTCTTTGCGTGTGGTTTGTAATTTTTTCTAGAGCTTTGTTTATTATCTACGAGAGATAGATTATTCTTTTTAATTTCGATAACTTCTTCTGTTTTTCGATACTATGCATTATCTTGTTGTTTATTTGTGAGGCAGAGAAACTTTGATAACGTTTGTTGTTATTGCAATCTTGAAACTTAACATCTAATTCTGCTTTCCTAAAGATTGTCTTTCACTCGGCGTTTATCCAAAGTTTCTCTGCTTTCCACTACCAAATGTCAACAACCAAGATAGCTTTGCGATACGCAGACGACTATTACGCAGCGCAATCAAAAGCGAACAAAGGAAGAAAGGAAGTTATCGAATGAAGTAACAAAAATATCAGAAAAATTAAAGAATAATCTATCCCTCTCGACTGGAATATTATAAACAAAGCTCTAGAAAAACATTACCAAATACCTACAAAAGGCAATTGCCACACACCGGAAAAAAACTAAGTAATCTCACGAGGAACAGAATTCAACCATTCACACACGATGAGACGATAACCAACCTATCATCACACCAATTAAAAGACGAAGAACTAGAACTCCTGAAAAATGGCCTTAGGTTCTGAATTAAACCACTACGACTCAACTCAATCGACATTCTGGCAACAATCGAAAAAATCCACCAAATTATAAACACAACATTCGCAATCAAGAAGACTACACTCATCTCAAAACAGAGCTGGCATACATCGCTCACTCGAACATCTCATCTTATCACCGACACCTTAAAGCATTCGCATCAATCCAAACATTATCATTCTCAAACCGGACAAAGGCAACGGCGTTGTAATAACGGATCGTCAAATATATCGTAACTCCTGTCTTAAAATCATTAACAATACAGCAAAGTATACCCAACTCAAAGACGACGTCACACTATCATGTGAAACCGTACTGCAACGACTGTTAAGGAAGCTTCTAAAGAAAGACTCGATTAACAACAAAGTTTATAATGATATCTTCCCCAGAGGTTCTCAACCCTCACGCTTCTATGGCTTACCGAAACTTCACAAGAAACGAGAACCAGAACAATCGCCTCCACTACGACCGATAGTTTCATCAATCAACGCATACAATTATAATTTAGCTAAGTATCTTAGTTCTCTACTAACACCACTCATACCAGATGACCACTCCACTAAAGATTCTTTCACTTTCCTCGACGACTTCTCATCTTTCAACTCATCAACTTCTTGTCACAAATTCTTCATCTCCTACGACGTTGAAAGCCTATTTACTAACATACCACTTACTGAAACCATTAACCTAGCAATCGACTTAATATTCACTCACAACCCCACGTTCAGTATAAACAGGACCGACCTCACACAACTGTTTTTAATAGCAACAGCGCAGACGCATTTTTTATTTAATGGAAAATTTTATGACCAGACGGACGGTGTTGCGATGGGCTCTCCCTTAGCACCCATACTTGCTAACATTTTCATGGGCTCACATGAACGAAACTGGCTAAACAACTACAACGACACTAAACCACTATTTTACCGCAGATACGTTGACGATATTTTTTTTGTGTTTTTACTAACGAAACTGAGGCCATGAAGTTTTATAATTACATTAACACACAGCACGCAAACATTAGATTTTCTTTTGAAACTGAACAACAAGATCAACTGCCATTTCTTGACATTTTACTAACAAAATCTCACGACAGCTGTACAACATCTACATACCACAAACCAACGTACACAGGACTTCTAACGAACTATTTTAGTTTCACACCACTTTCATACAAAACCGGACTTATACGCACACTAATCGACAGAGCATACAAACTTAACAATACGAACAATGGCTTTCAACGAGGCATAAAAAAACATCACATCCACTCTCTTACGAAACTCTTTCCCACTTCACTTTATTAACAGAACCGTAAAACGATATCTCGACAACAAACATAGCAACAACCTCAACCTAGACACCGAAACTCCTGACACGACGATCAAAACCAACACAAATGAAAATTCCAAAATAACAACTCTATACTTCAAACTACCATACATCGGACATTACTCACGACACACACAACGCAGACTTACAAACATTATGAAACGCTTCTGTACAGATATTGACATTCGACTAATTTTCACATCATTCAAAATCAAAAACCTTTTTTCATTTAAAGACCCGATCCCTGATTCAATTAAATCTATGGTGGTATATGAATTCAATTGCGCGGGATGTAATTCCCGATACATTGGCGAAACTTCACGCCATTTATCCACCAGAATCAGGGAACATACCACAACAGACAAAAACTCTCACATCTACCGACACCTTCTTAAATCACACTCATGCAAAACCAACTATTCACCCTCTTGTTTCAAAATCATCGACACTGCCGACACCTCATTCACCCTTAAAATCAAAGAAGCACTCCATATTAACAAAACTAACCCTGACCTCAATGTTCAAGTTTTTAAATTCAATACAATATTTAGTTTATAATACGCTCGGACGCTCCTCATTATATTATCTTATTTCCTTTTTATTGTTCTAATTTATGTATCATATTACTTTTATATAAACCCTGTATCACCTATTATTTCATTCATACTGAAGATGGCATCATGAGATGTCGAAACATGTTTATTTTCAAAAAAGTTGTCGTGTATATTAAATTTGTATTGGCAATAGTTCTTTTACGAAATTATGGAAACATAAATAAGACTAAAAACTGACTAATCATATACATGGGATCATAAATTACTTTGCTCTGGATTTCTGGTTTTGTTCATGATATTTTATACGCTATGACGTTAATCAGGTCATATTAATCTTATTCACAAGATTAGAATGTTTTATCACGTTTTCGACATGGTATAAGAATGGCATTTACAGATTTTTTGCAAGTAACATAAACATAAAATACCCTTTGCAGAGTTACTGGTTTCGGCCTCAATGTTTTCTTCTGAGGCGTCACGACAAAAAATTCCTATTTGCTCTTAAACAACAGGTACGATAAACAATTATATCAAATTTTTACCGTGGATACGATCATTGAATAAGCTAATTTAAAGTATTTAACCATCAATAACAAAAGAAAGTTTTAAAATAAAAAATATCTGTGGCAAATGAAACGTTTATTTTTCATTTTCCCCAAAACAAATTAACAAATGGTCATTGATATACTTCTATATGTCTTTTAGACTGACAGCTACCCTATTATATTGCAGTAAAGAGGTCATCAGGTAAAGATGAAGGTCTGTTAAACTATTTTCAGACAAAATACCTTCAATTAGTTCATTTGGCTTTAAGTGCTGCTTACTTTCTGGTCACAGTGGTAAATCTTCTGGTTGTTGCTGCTGGGTTTTTGCTATTTCCATTTTGTTTTCTTGGAATTCTTCATGTTTCTCTACATTTACTTTCTCCTCTTTACGTAATAAAATAGAAGAAAACAAGTCTTACTTGGTCAATAAATACTATAAAAGTTTAACGTCCAATAATGACTTTTCCCACATCTATCATACTTTTCAACAACATCAAATTTCTAGTTAATGTAATAAATATACCGTTGGCTCTTGTCTTCAGTGGATCAGTTCTGGATATTTTTAATGTGTTAGATTCATTCTTTAAAAATTGGACTCATACCAAAGTCAGCTATTAAAAATTTGCCCTGTGCGTCTCGGAAAACATTAGAAGGCTTTAAATCCAGATGAGAATAGGATATGGGTCGCTGTGAAGATGAGCTAAACCTTTTAAAATTTGTCTGAGAACTTTGGGAAGCGATTTTTGACGATAAGCCAAACTATTTGATTCCGATTGCACAAAATCCTCCAGCGATTCTTCACACAGGTCAAGTATTAAATAAACATATTCTGATGTAATGTCTTTATCTAAGTAAAAATAATTCACAACATCATTCGATTTTTTTTCGATGATGTCTTTGAAAATTTTCTTTTCTTGTTGTGTAAGCCCAATGCAGATATCACGAAGTATTCGTTTCACAGCTTTGCCGTAACCATCTTTTTCCAGTCCAAGATAAACACGAGTTCCATCACTTCGTTTCTCGATGAAAATTCTCCGGAGAAAATTACACGCACATCACTTGTATGTTCAACCATGACTTTGGGATCTTGTCCATATTTAATCATTTTTAAAAACAATTGTTTATGTTTAGTTGATTCATCAACGCATTTCCACTGCAATTCTGAAATTGGAGTAAAAATATTACTTTTAAAGATAAAACAAGAAAATCGACTAACTTCGCCATTGCCCAAATGATTTGGATAGTAATTGAAAGCACATCAACTTAATTACAACCATTTTATAAATCACTCATAAAAGCATTCAGTTCAGGTAAAGTATTATTGGTATAATGCATCCAGAGGCGAAACTAGAGCGCTAATTGGGGAGGGAAGGTGGTGGGTAATATTCAAACATTCAGCCCTGCTGATTTCTTTTGAAATTAAAATCACCAACAAAAGAAATGTCGAAATGATATTATTTTTTTGTAAATATCTGCATTTTTGTGCGTAGTATTTAGTTTCTTTTGTGTTTCTTCAGACCCCCAAATAGAAATAAGTACCATCACTTCTTCATAAGACCAGGTTTCTCCGCGTTTCGACACATTTGCTTAAATAATAAAATAGAGACTTTGTCGTGGTGACAAATCTGAAAATAATTCTAAAGATAGCAAATACCATAGTGAATGGTAAAAGTAATATAATAATTTGATAGTCCTAAAAAGAACTGTTTTAAGTAACGAGCACTAAACCAATAGTTCTAAATTAAACGACACGATGCAATTCGGCAGACTACTCCTCAGATGTCAACGTCTGCTAAATGAAAATTTACAATTTCTCGATATTTATAATGCCAAGAAAGAGTGTACATCATCTCAAAAAGGGGAGATGACACTCAAAACAGAGATAAAATAAAAACATAATCCTTTTGTCGGCAGAGGACAGATTGGTTAACTTAATTAAAACAGCCTCCATGACGCGTAACTGAAAGAATGAAGGGCATTTCTTAAATGATTCTAAATGAACTCCTCTGAGGACAGTCTAAGCGTTCGCTATATTAAACACTTTACTAAAGAAATCTTTCCTCTGTGTGAAGAAAAAGCGTCAAAGCATGTGTACAAACCCGTAAAAGTTGCCTTGCGATGAATGCTTGTAAGGAATTGACCGTTTATAGACAAGAACATCCAAAAACGCTAACTGACAATTTGATTCCTGTTCAGACGTATAATTTAAAGAAGGGTGAAGAGAACAGAGTTTATGTAAAAATAATTTGCAATTTTTGTCGTTACGAAAAAGGGAAAAGGTGACGTCAACGTAACGTTTGTACCACAGCACTTCTGGAGGCCCAGACGAGGCAAACATCTTACACTCATAATAGCCTACGAAAATATTAGCAACTACTGGTCCTAGTGCTCTTTACTTAAAACAGTTCATTTAAGAACTATCAAATTATTATATTACTTTTACCATTCACTATGGTATTTGCTATCTTTAGAACTATTTTCACATATTTGCTTATAACTGTAAAATATTGCTGCAAGCAAACATAGCAAAAACGAAACGCGTGATATGTGTGCTCGCACGAAAAGCCTGGTTACTAAGCTAAAAACATCGCTACGTAGATGACACAATCACAGCACTACATGCAAACGAGATTGATGACTATCACACTCACATTAACAAACAGAACAGTCACATACAATTTACCAAAGATGTCGAAGAAAACGGAACTCTTCCTTTTCTCGACTGTTTGGTAAAACAAGACAATCAAAAACTACGAACAACAGTTTATCGCAAGCCAACACATACTGACCGACTACTAGACCAATCATCTTACAACCCTACATCACACAAAGCCATCACAATCAGAACATTAACAAGACGTGCACAAATCATATGTGATTCACCGGACGCTCTACACAACGAAAACAACTATCTCAAACGTGTTTTTCACAAAAACAACTACAACTCTGACTTTATCAAACGCAACACCTACAAACTCAACGAACCCAACGAAACGAACAACTCAGTGACAACAGCAACGATACCTTACATCAAAGGTACGTCTATGTTTATCTTGCGTATCTTACGACCATACAACATACGTGTCGCACATAAACCAATCACAACGTTACGACAAGCACTAACGAACATAAAGGACAAAGAACAACCCAACGAACGACAAGGTGCAGTTTACAAAATAAACTGCTCCGACTGCCACGCCTCCTATATCGGGGAAACTGGCAGGAACTTAAACATAAGACTTACTGAACACAAACGAGCTACTAAGAAACAAGACAAAACTAATCACATTGCCGAAAATCACCGAATCACAAAGCACAACATTGACTGGGACTCGGCAAAATGCATCACTTTCAGTACTGACTATAGAAAGGCTTACATTAGAAAGTTGGTATACCAACTTGGAACAAACCCCCCTGAACAGATCACAGCAATTACCGGCACTTTACAAAGGACTATTCACAATACAAACAAACGATCAACTAAAAACATGACACTTCACACTATTTCACAATGACAATACACAATTGACACCCACACATTACAACTAAAAACATCACACCTAAATCACACATCACAACTAAAAATAAAAATATTTCACTTCACACTAATTCACAATGACAATACACATTTCCTGTACACACAATACAATGACGTAAGAACCAGATAACAAATACGGCTAACCTGACGTTTACTCCTCATTTGACTCTGAAGATGACTGCCGCTAAGGTTGTCGAAACGTCAGTCAACAACAACAAAAACAGTCCTTCTCAGGACTATACCAACCTGGACGATCTACATTTACAAACATGTAACGATACTCCCGGGTTCAAAGCATTTACTTTAAGCTAAAAACATGTGATTAATCAAGATTGATCTGATTCTATTCGTGTTGCATGTTCACAATATCATGCGGACTAATCCGATTCGAGACTCTAAGACCACCTTTTGAGGTGGCCGAAATTATTTCTGATCGAATTCGTTTTCGCATCACTTGTAAGTGTTCACATTAGCTCTCGTACGGACTCTAATCGATTTCGAATCGATTTAAAGTGTTAGTGTTAATGGGCCCTAAAGTAGCACAAGTTTCCAAATTGAGAATTCAAATAGCAACATGCAAATCGTCAAAACAACTTAGTAACAACCAATATATCATAAACCACTCGTTAAAACGAACAATTCTAGCAAGAGTGAAGCATATTGCTGATAACTGATACAATGGAATACAATGCATCCTGTCTTCAGATTAGGGCAATCAAGCTTTTAAACAGGCACATTCAGGTAGAATTCTTACGACTAATACTAACTTTTGCGAAAAAATTAGAGTTATTTCGTCGAAAATATGCATGTGCGTTAAAAAAGAAAGCGTATTCCACACTAAGCATTTCTGCGACAAACAACCTGTTTTATACGTCGCATTTTACATGCGTCGAATGCATTAAAACAAATGAAATTGACATAAAATTCCTCATTAGTTTTGTATGCAATCGACTCATGTAAAATGCGACGTAAAAAAACAGGCTTTATGTAAATTTTCAATGATGAATTTCAAGTGCTAGCAATAAATCTATAGTTAATATACAAGATGTATAGAAAATGGTTGACTCTGGGAAAAAAGTTCTCGAAAAGTAGATGCACGCTAAATAACCAAAAACCTTTACTAATGTTAAGTATTTTAACGTTCTTTGACATAGCAGACACTTAAAATTCGGAAAATGCAAGATTTTTTACATTGTTAAAAATCCTTCAAAACAGACCTTTTAAAAAAAATAATCAAAAGAAAAACAGTTCTATCGTAATCTCAAATTTTTGGCGCACGCGCTGAAAACATGGATTTTTGCGTTTTTGCATTTCATACCTTGCTTTATACAACAAATACACTTTCAAGAATTGGAGTTGATAATTTCATATTGTAATTTATGCAATTTCCCGATAATGCATAAATTGAGCTTGATATGATAGAACAAACTTTGTTTGAAATGCACAAACTCGAAATAATCCAAGTTTTGAAGACATTGAGTTTGCCAGAGCGTGCACCAAATTACTTGAAATTTTGATAGGTTGTGCAACACAGTCCATATTTTGAATCTGGGTGATTAAATTGCTATTCCAATTATTAATTTTTGTGCACAGGGCCTGTTTGGAGAAACTGTTAAGAACAGATCATACCACAATTCCCCTCTTTCAAGAACGGTTCCTCGCCAACGGAGGTGTCAGGTTTTGGACAGCAGCAATTACCCATGTATGGAATCTACTGTTAGCTACAAGTCAACAGAAGATTCTTCTTTGTTGCGTCAGTTGTAGTGGCCAAATGTTAAAGTCATTCCATATTTAACTAAAGACAAAAAAATCAACTTTGTCGTTAGAGTCTCTACTTCCAAAGCATACGAATATTCATTTATCACAAAGTAAATGAAAACTTTCATTTGGAATTTTGAATACTTACTCTACTCGAGAATTTACATCTGCCCTCCCCTACACACACACACACATGATGGAAGACTTAAGTTGGTATCATGTGAAGACATTATTAAAGTTCAAGAACAATCCTTTGAAGTATTTCCTAACATGTCAATGATGTAGCAAGACACATTTTTTTGGTGTTATTTGCATAGAGATTTAACGTTAGTTATATTCATTAATAATAGCACAAAATTACTCAAGGTTTACAGCACCAAACCCTCCCCATCACCAATGACTTGGCCCTCACTATATTTTGGTTGTATTTTTAATCTTATTTTCAGAATAAACAAAATATCACAACTTATTCACACATAGCTATAGATTTCACATGTATGCAATTCTTCTATTTTGATTATGAAGCATTTGATTCTTTTCAAAATGTCATCAGATCAAAATAACAGCTTTGCTTACATGCCAGTAGATAAACCTTACAAAATTTTCAAGTTATATCTGTAGAGTCCCAAACTGATTATTTGTATAAAATGTAAAGATTTAAAATGCTATGATATCTATTTACAACTCTGATACTAACACCATCGTCACAGAGAATGCACAGAATACTAACTTAATTAACTATACCTCTGACTATACGACAACTTACTCCCTGGATAAATATTCATAGGATAACGATTTACGAATGATTAGTGGCTAGAAAATATGGCCGCCGACCCCGTCTCGCGTTCTTAGGAATTTAATCTTCAATTCAGAAATTTCTAGAGTTGGCACTAATACAATGTTGTAATCGATAGAGATTAAACGTTAGTTATATTCATTAATAATAGCACAAAATTACTCAAGGTTTACAGCACCAAATCCTCCCCATCACCAATGACTTGGCCCTCACTATATTTGAGAACTTCCTATTAAGTAGATGACATGTGAAAACATAACATTGCTCTAAAGGGGGTTCTAAAGTTTTGACACAATAAACACAATATAAATTGCTGTTTAAGTCGCAAACACGTTTTGTTTTTATCCGTTTACGTACAGCAAAACAAATTTATAGATATTTTTGTCACGTCTTGCGCCAACGGACCTAAATCTTACAGCTGGAAAATTTGATATTTTAGCTTACAAAATGCATTTAGAATGAGCGTGCAGTCCCAGCATGTAGTATGGCAGATGAGAATTACATATGGGATTACACCTGATTACACACGTGATACTCGTGGTTTCTACCATTGCTTTATCTGCTGGGTAGCAGTGGCGTAGACTGCTGCATCAATAATTGGGGAGCCAATACTGATATATGTATGTTGTAATCTCAAGAAAACAACGGATTTCAAAGGAATTTAATACAGATTATAAATGAATATTGCCCTCCAATTATCGAGCTAGCTACGCCTCTGCTACGAATCCATAGCCTGACATTGCGGATGGGTGATATGATACCATCCATTTGGGGGACATCAAAACCAGATTTTCATACCAATTGCACTTTATTTGAACAGTTTGTTACATTTCACAATATACTATACAACAATCGAATTCATCAAAACTTGCCATAAACATATTTGACTAAAACAAGTATATAAGTTATTTTTATTTTTAACTTTGCTTGTCACATATTTTAGTGCATAAAGTTATACAACAAGGTGCATTAAATTTGATTACTCATTTCTTTTGTGCTAGCTTTAGTATTTCTTATTTTCAGTATAAACAAAATATCACAACTTATTCACACATAGTTAAAAATTTCACATGTATGCAATTCTTCTATTTTGATTATGAAGCATTTGATTCTTTTCAAAATGTCATCAGATCAAAATAACAGCTTTGCTTTCATGCCAGTAGATAAACCTCACAAAATTTTCATGTTATATCTGTAGAGCCACAAACTGATTTTTTGTATAAAATGTAAAGATTTAAAATGCTATGATATCTATTATGAACCAAACCCAATCTATACATAATATAAATCTTAACACGGTTTTTATATGAACATGAAAAACATGTGACTTGGACGAGATTTGAACTCACACCTTCGGGATACTAGTCTGTCGCTCTACCTGTAGACCTCCCAAGCCCACAGGGATTGGAGACAAGTCAAATCTCTTAGGATTTATATCATGAACCAAACCCAATCTATATACAGTTAACACAAGAAGTTTTTATTTTGACAATGTCTTAACCTGGCAAAGAAATGAAGAACATAATTCTATTTGATTGTAGATCACACCAGAGAGATTGAGTACTGATAAATATGTCTTTAAATAAGTTTAACAACATTCACAAGACATGTGAACAATGTGGGGAATCTAAATTCAAACAGCAAGTCCTTTGCTTTGCACAAGTGGCATGACTAAGAACTAATTTATATGGCTTGCATTCCCAATGCAAATTACATTCACTATATGTAATTAATAAAACCAAAGCTTACTTTTTCTTATAATCTAATTCTTTCATAACGGTTTTTCTTCATTCCAAGAGCTTTGTGACCCATGTTCCAGACCTCTCAACCTCAAAACACATAAAATCTGGAGACTGATGCAAAAAAATCGGGAGATTTCAGTAAAAATCTGGAGATTGATCTACCGGCAGACAAAACCAAGTAAACACAGGTTCTGATTCAGAGAAAGTCTTTTTTCCTGCTTATAATTTACTTAAAACATGCGTGGACCTTAACACAGAAATAAACTTTGTTTTGACAGCTTCAATGCTCAGCATTATATGCAGTAGCTGCCTTTTTGGAACCATCCAACAGTTCTTTTGTAGGAATCCACTTGTGGCACGGTACAGTCTGCTCTGGATATTGCAGCTTCGTGGCCAGCAAACTTGACAGTGTAACCTCCAGCCTCATTGACGCTCTGCTCTCGGTCTTGTTTTTCCTCACGATACTAAACAATCTCTCCTCCGCAACTTCCGCCATTTTAGAAACGTGATAAAATGTGAGAGACTGGTAATGATGACCTAATTTGGAACAAGTACTCTATATATGGCCATAGTCGATAGTCCGTCATGAACTTAATTGCTCGGTAACGGTTTGTTAAATTTAACTACGGATTAGCACAGAATTGGCGCAAGAAACGCCAAAAATGAAATAATACAACAAAAAATTTGTTCTGTCAGCTTGCGCCACTATTTATCGTGAGATTTTTCTGTCTTGTCGTGAGACCGTGAGATTGAACTGAAAACCGTGAGTCTCACGACAAAATCGTGAGACTTGAGAGGTCTGCATGTTCACCAGGAAGCTACAATGCAGCATAAGAGTTAACGTTTCATGCATGGTTAGTTATGTTTATAAGCTTCATATTTGTGCATTTATTCTCGTTAGCTTTTACTTTCAGGAAAAAACAATTTGGGTGTTTTTGGCAAAATTATAATATATCAATGACTGCTAAAATGTCAAGCAAGTGACCCTTATCCATTTTATTTTCACACATGCAGCGCTTACAGCGTTTTACGAACTCTATCTACTTTATTGATTCACGTATTTATTTTGTTCATGCATGTCATGTATTTATCTATGTCATTATCTATTTTACAATCTTGAATACTTCTTACAGTCGTGAACTCATGTTTTTATAGAGGTCGATATATTCTAGTTATTTTTACCACACAGAACAGAACACAAACTTAAGCGGCTCGAAACTAAGAAGTTGTTTCTTTATTTACATTAATGTTCACAACACCTATTGCTGATAGAAATAACGCAAAATAGTTCACATACAAACGACAAACCGAAAGATCGAGAAAGATAAAGCCAAGACAAGACTTCCCAAAAGTAATACTTATGAAAAGGTGTACTTACATGTCAATTTACAACTCTGATACTAACACCATCGTCACAGAGAATGCACAGAGTACTAACTTAATTTACTATACCTCTGACTATACGACAACTTACTCCCTGGATAAATATTCATAGATAACGATTTACGAATGATTAGTGGCTAAAAAATATGGCCGCCGACCCCGTCTCGCGTTCTTAGGAATTTAATCTTCAATTCAGAAATTTCTAGAGTTGGCACTAATACAATGTTGTAATCGATAGAGATTAAACGTTAGTTATATTCATTAATAATAGCACAAAATTACTCAAGGTTTACAGCACCAAATCCTCCCCATCACCAATGACTTGGCCCTCACTATATTTGAGAACTTCCTATTAAGTAGATGACATGTGAAAACATAACATTGCTCTAAAGGGGGTTCTAAAGTTTTGACACAATAAGCACAATATAAATTGCTGTTTAAGTCGCAAACACGTTTTGTTTTATCCGTTTACGTACAACAAAATTTCTAGAGTTGGCACTAATACAATGTTGTAATATTTAAAGGTAAAATAAACAAGAATTCAATTAAAATAACGAAACATGCATGGAGGCAATTAATAAGCTAGAGTCTTTCGGCAGTATTCATACTGAAGTTCCATACACACCAATGATACACACTACAATAATAGAATCAATGGAAATAAACTGAGAATGTGGATCTTGACGTAACAAGGAACAAATGACTGAAAGAGACAGATCTGGCTAACTATTTAAAAGACTGAAATTCATAAATGCCAGCTTGTGGCTTAAAACATACCATCTTTTGTCTAAAGAAAAATGCAACACAACTAAGCCCGAATAGACAAAAAGTCAACAACTTTGACTTCGTCATCATTAACCTCAACGTACACAAATTTTCTTTTAACAATTTCAAAGCTGCAACAAAAGAAATACTACGAAATAGTCACAACCTCACATAAAAGTGTCATTTTATTCAAATATTACCAATTTCCCCAAATCAATAAGTTACCCTTTTTATGCGTATCAATCGTTAATTATATAACATTGTAAAATCCAATCAAAATTCATAGCAATCTGACCATGTAATATCCAGCTTGGTTACTTAATTTAACTTGCTTAAGAGCCTTAAATTAAAACATACATAAAAGAGGATCTTGAATTGTGGTATCATTGATTTCCTTCTTGCCAATTGCTTTCCCATAAAATTTCTTTTGCAGACAATAAAAAGACTTCATTGATGTGGCACATTTTAGCTTTAAAATGAAAACGATAATGTTCTTGTTTTTCCATTCGTCATTTGATCTGACCATTTACACTTAGGATAAATAATGCAAAGAAAATAAAATCAGTAAAATGAGCTGCTAAAAGGATTAATAACTCTAATCGAAAACTCTCTTCTTTTTCTAAGCAAGCATTTTTCGCAATTTCAGCATTAATGCATACGACGTGAAAGAATTTGTTGCCTTAAAGCAAAGGATACGCAATATTTACTATTGCATATGTGTTCTTTACAAGTTTGACAATATAATAAGCTATAAGCTTCTTTTTACCATACGATAAAAATATGCCAAAGTCTCTGAATCACCATGATTCGTAGGTACTCGTCACTATCTTTGGATATCGGACAAATCGTTAATCTCGTCTAAAGATTTTTGACTATTGCTAGTACTATCACACATGCTTGAACCGTTATTTTCAGTTGCACAAAATTAGAAAACGATGCACCAGATAAAAGTGGAGAGATTACGGTTTTTGGTAGAATATTTAAGAAAAGTGACACGTACACAGCATTAGTTTGTTGTTACATAGCTATTTACCGTTAAGATCAGGGTATTCAATAACAGCTTCGCTTTTCTTTCCCTTGCCTTCTTCAAGTTTTACAGGATGTTCACTGTCTAACAAATGTTTGCAACCGCAATATACAGAATTAAAAACATACATGCATTAAGTGCAGTAAATGAAGAAGAGAACGAGAGTGAAAATAACAAATATAGTGTCATGGACCCCTAATTTATAGCTTGGCCATCAAAAATGAAAACTCATTTCTGTGTCTTACTTGGAAAATGTTTCTCTAGATCAGGTCTTGCCTTCCAGTCAATCAATCTTTTGGCTCTGTGAACTAGATAAGGCAGTTCCTCAAAAAGTTGAAGAAAATACTCTTGATAGTTTCCATCTTTAACACATGATGACAGTTGTGGACGAGGTTTATCGTGCCAATGCTGGCGAACGTTTCGTAAAAATCTTAGGCAACCTAACCATGTAGAGTCCGATACTTTATTGAAATGATTAAAGAATTCAGGATCGATACGGTCCATCCAATTTATTGAAAGATTCAACTGCTCACGAAGATTTGGGGGAAGAGAATGTGGAGATGATGTCTTTATCTCTGGTTCATTCCCAACATCACACAGAAAAGCGAAATTCTCCTTATCGGTTTGTAGATAAGGGTGTTTTAACGCTTCGTTGGCCAATGGTCTGTCTTCCGGTTTTAGCTGTAGCATCCACGATAAAAGGTCTTTGAGCGTGGCATCCTTGATTTCGTCCAAGCCAACTGGGTTTCCTTTCAAAATGTTGTCCAGTCTATGCCGTTCAATTCCAAAAGGATGTTTCCCTTTGTTGCAACATAATAAGCCACCATTCCGGCATTCTATTTTCAATAAAAATGGAGTTAATTTATTTGTTACTTGCAAAATACAAGTTCAGTTCGAAAAATCAGAATAATGTTCTCCAATTAAGAATCGTAGCCACAAATTTTTTAGAGCAATCTAAATGAGAGACATACAATAAGGCAATAACAACAATAAATTCATTATCATACATATACATATTTTTATATTTTATACAGTACAATTTGTATTTTGCCACTATATGACTGTACAATGAAGGTAAAGAAAAATTATACTTAAAAGTGATAATGATATCAGTGGCAGTGATAATGATATCCCTACCAAATACAACATTCAAATGCAAAACAACATTGACCTGTGGTTGGCCTCTATTTCTACTTCAAGAACTTACCATAATGTCTGACTCTTTTTTGTAACGAACTTTATTAATTGTATCATCTGATGCGTCATATGACTCTGGAGCTATCCAACCTTTAGCTCCTCTTTGTATGCTCCAATGTGTCGAAGATTCATCCGATAACATATGACTTATACCAAAGTCAGCAATTAAAAACTTTCCATCCACATCTCGAAGAACGTTCGAGGGTCTTAAATCCCGATGAAGAATAGGACGCTCACCGCTGTGAAGGTGAACTAGACCATTTAAGATCTGAATAAGAACTTTAGGAACGACTTTTGAAGATCTTGCAAAGAAGAAGATTTCACATAACTCTTTAACGATTCTTCACACAAATCTAATATCAAATACAAATTATCTGTGCCTGGTTCTTCTTCAAGATACCAATAATTCACAACATAATTTGAACGCTTTGCATTCAACTCATTCAAAATTTCTTTTTCTCGTTTGGCTAACTCCGCGCAGTTATCTCGAAGCAATCGTTTTACTGCTTTTCCGTAACCATCTTTTCCGAGTCCAAGGTAAACACGAGTTCCATCACTTCCTTTACCAAGCAAAAACTCTTCAGAACAAATAACCTTTACACCATTTACAAGTTTAACTTTTCTTGGATTTTTCTTCCCATATTCTTCCATCATTCTGAACTTTTGCTGGTGCATTATTGATTTATCATAACATTTCCACGGTTGAGACAGCAATTCTTCAATCAAAAAGTAAAGTAGACTATTTAGAAAGGAATAAATGAATGTATCAAGAAACAATTTAATTTTCTAATTATACGCACATCAAAAAAATGTGGCTATTAGACAAGATTTGAAATACCTACACCGCTTTGCCCGTTAAGGTGAACTGACTTTTATATTTAGCTACTGAATAATGACATAATAACATGTTTGCCTTGTCTTGAGTTTATTTGTATTAACAGCGTATTTCCCTGCTCCTAAACACACGGATGAGGGATATTTAGTTCAAAGAACGTCGAGGGACGTCAGGATCTTTTCACTTTAAATGCGAAAACATTGAGATTGAAAAATCAAAGATGAAAGCACCTGTCGAGGTGAAAAGAGTTCGGAGAATTAAAGAACCTAATGTTTTTAAGGTTACCTTCTGAAAAGCTTGTGTTTTTTACCAGAATTATTGGCTTTTACTGGCTATCAATAATCAAATAATATGTTTTAAAAGGATGTTTTCAACAATATTCTATTTAAGTTCATTTGTGTACATGTAACGTATACATAAAACTGACACGTTGATCATGATGGTTTTCATAATTTACTTTTAGCATCATAGCCAGTTTTCACTTTCTATGCATACTGATCAAATTTCTATGTTTACAAAGTTTAAAATTTTTACATGATTTTGATCCACAACATTTGTATTGTTTTTGAATTAAACGATTTTAGTTGGCTACATATAACGATACCTTTTAAAATTAATATATTGGGTTATAAATTATTGTTTGTGTTTAGCGTTGAAAACCATGGAAATGTTTGGGCAAATGTTTGCTAACACGGTTAATACATCAGAGCAAGATAAAAGGAATACTTGCTGAGTTATTTCACTCTTCATTACATCTCACATTTTTGACCGTTAACAAAAGTATGTGAATAAGGAAGATATAAACGAATCTCAATGGTTACATTGCATTCTTGTTTCTACTTAATATTTCAAAAGGCAATAAAGATTACGTTTGTGTAAATATTTGCATATAAAATTCCATTACTTACTAGGTCCTGATGTAGAAGACGTTATACCAATATCAGCATCACTGTCATTATCATTTAGTAGATATAGCAACGATTCCTTTTCTTCAGAAGCTGAAGCAATGTAAATATGAAACATTTAAGTATGATAATATTACTAAAAAGTATTGCAACAAATGTAAGCTTTTATTTGTTAAACTCCACACAAAAGAAAGTTTCCTTCTAGCTATTTAACTTTTAACAGATTTTGGGAGCTGTAAATGGCTGTTTGTTTCCGACAAAGTGTCATATATTTTGTAAACAAACTTGATCATACTGATTTCGTTGTGACTGTAAGATGGTCTTACTAGGAAGAATCTGAGCGTATTTTACCGAATCAAAAAGATGTTCAAAAATTATGTTAACTATAGGTATTTGGCTATGCCCTCGAATGGTACGCAGTACTTTTACTTTTACTAAAGTCTGTTTTCCTTTAATACTTTCTACATTTAATGCACATTATTTAGAGTTCTATTCAAGCCTAAAATCAAAGTAATTTAGTCACCAATAATAACAAATGATAATCGGATCGGTAATGCAAATTTTAGATGTTTTAATTGATGATCAGAAAAAGAAATATCCAAAAGGATTTGAGACGTTTGCAAATGATATTAGACATAATGCAATCTTGGTGATATTTTCGTCGTCCTCTTCCTAAAGATAATCTGGACGAGCGACGCAGGTATTCTAGTTTAAAAATGATAGTCCTCGTTTTCTTTTGAAAGCTTGTCTCAAAGATTTCTTTAAATCTTTTTTGAAAAATCTGCTAATTCTCATGTAGATAACATGTGAAAACTACATTTTTAATTCACATTTTTTGTAACTTTTTCATCAATGAAAAAACAAAATGTATCAGACAAAATAAAAAATGATGGTCCCATAATTTATACTCTTATGTTTCTTCAACTTTATTTAGCAACATGTAGTTAATGGAATTCACACAAAACAATATACAACACACAAATGACACACAAAAGTACATGAGTAAAACAAAATACAATTGACTACTCTACTGACCTTGAACTTTGTTAATAGTAAAAACATCAATACATTTTTCATAAAAATAAATGTATAAAATAAAATGGTAGCATCATGTAACCTTTAAATTTATTCTTTTAATGCAAAAGTTCAATTTTTCAGTTTTTTGAATAGCTAAAATATACAGTTAGAAAAATTTGTATCAATATAAACCAACATCCCTCAACTATACTCAGCTACGCTTCGGAAGATAACATTGACCTCGGTCTGAATAATTCTTGATATTGCTCAGCCTCATCCAATAATTATTTATTACACGCGGAAAATTCCACCTTGTTGAAAATAGCCTTAAAATACATTCATCACAAAAAATTGCAATTGTCGAATAAAATTAAAGTGCCCTCTTGAAAGAAAATGATTTTATCACTATTTTACAAGGCCAAACAATAACAGATTGTAACGAATCAACACTGTACATTGGTATGACGGCAGGATGTTTCAACCGTTACACCAACCATACTCATCGTCCCAGCAATCGTATAGAAACGGAACTGAGCTATTTAAATACGCATGGCTCAAGGAACGAGACAAACCATTTAATATCTCATGGTGTCTGTAGTAAAATGCGTATACCGTCAAGATTAGCATGAAGTAAATTGTATTGTGTATGTTTGGAAGAAACAATTAACATCATGAAGTCAAACCGAAAGTACGAAACGTCCGAGATGTTAGCTAAATGCCTTGATAGGAAGTGCTTTTTGCGCATTTATGAATATTAATATTTGTATGCTTTTTGTTTTGCAACGTTTTCATGCTTCATGCATCACTTTCAAGCAACGTATAAGTACATAACCATATTAAAAACAAATAACGTAAAACCGTGTTTGAAGGTCACGATTGCAATAATTGTGTTAAATTGATGAAAATTAAGTAAAATATTAAATAAATAAATTTGACCTAGTTACCGAATCAAAAAACATTTTGCAGACATCCAACATAAACGTACACATCTATACTCAAATCTACTTCAATGAAAATCAATATGACTATTGTTTAAACGATTCTTAATGACAATGAATTTAAACATACGATGGAAGTCAGGCTATACAGGTCATGAATACAATGACATTTGCTTTGTGCGATGTACATTTAAAGATTCGACAGATTCAACATAGGTACGTCAATTGCAGTCTAAGAGAACTGTCGGCAATGTATAGTACTATCAAAATGTTATTTACAAAATAGTATACACTGACGAGCAATGGATTACATGCGCAACAGGAAACCGACTACACATGCAGTATTTCTGATTCACGTGTACTTCATTAAATACATCATAACGGAAAACAAAAAGATAAATGAGATTTCGTAGTTTACGTGAATCATCAAAAATCAGCATCATGTAAACATATATTGAAAAGACTTATCTACCTGTTTTTGGAAGTTCACCCAAACTTCTTTCATCGTTTACTACAAAAATAACATGAGAAATACGTACGTCTGTTTTTTGTATCAAGTATATTGTTTAAATGTAATTCAAAGTTATACATATTTATACATATATAACTTTGAATTACATATTCAAACAATACTTGATATGATTTACTACCCAGTGTTTCACGCCTATATTGACGATTTTCAGTTAAATTAAAATAATAAAACTATGGCTCTGTTAATCAGTGAACTTATGTACTAATCATAATGTAAATGATTTCAAATTTAAATTGAATCAGTGGTTTAACTTAACCTTATAGTAAGAATATAACAACCAACGTTGCAAACAATTTCTTTGCATGATAGAAAAGTATTTAACCACCCTCTTTAAATCTTTACAAAATCTTAACAGCACGAACCGCCCAATATTAAAAGCACAATCGTCAACCACAACCGTCCTATCACAAATAAATCTAAAGCCTTTTTTTAACCAGGCGGAATTTTCCGCGCGCGACGCTAAATTTGCAACATGATTGGTTGTCATACAATAATGACAAAATCATCTACCAATCATGCGCGTTATTAAGCCCTTAATAACCGAGCTCGAGGTCTTTACGGAGAAATATCGGACCGATGTCTTTTTGTAACCAGGCGGAATTTTCCGCGCGCGACGCTAAATTTGCAACATGATTGGTTGTCATACAATAATGACAAAATCATCTACCAATCATGAGCATTATTAAGCCCTTAATAACCGAGCTTGAGGTCTTTACGGAGAAATATCGGACCGATGTCTTTTTGTAAAGACCGAGCCCGTAGGGCGAGAGAACATCAACACTACCTTGGTTCAATTAATTTATCAACTGAACTCTCCCCATATCTCCTTCACGAGCCTCAGAGCTTTACTAAGATGGAGACTAAATTAGGATATCTTAATTAAACCAAGTTGAAATATTTATTTAACATTTACACCTTAACGTAGCCAGCCTCCACATTTCCTATGGTTATGTAAATTCTCATGGATAACCATTATTCGTCTTTTTATAAATCTATTGTTCTCACAGCTAGTAAACACAAAAACATTTGGATACAAGCGGGAGTAAAAAGTCGAGCTGGCTATGTTACTGCATTTACACCTTACACAATAATACATTGACCTAAATATTATATAAGCAATCATGTAAAGCAAATTCTAAAGTTTATCTCCAACCTTACTTTTGGACATGAAAGTAAAACATGTCAGACCAAGCCTCAAGAACTTGGAGTTATTATTCCAAAACTAATCCTTGCAGGTGAGGAGTGGCGTTGCTATCCCATAAATTTAGTCCTGCTATGTAAATTTTAATGTGTTTACTTACTGTGAATAAAACAGATGGGAAAAGAACAATAATGATCTGAGATTTACATAGCATAAACAAAACTTGTGGTCTGGTTGTATGTACAAAACTATACTTTGATGCAACTGCTCAATCTGACAAGATCGTGCTTTGCTTTGAAAAATTGGACAACCACTCATTCCAACTTCACTTACCAGTTCTTTTCGTTTTCATTTAACTGCATGATTCCATCAACGGTGTCTTTGGAACTTGATCAGGCAGCTTAACATCCAAATCCCTTTCTATCTCATGAGCTAAACCTCCTTGCTTACACTCTTTCAATGCTAGGAGCAGTGCTCTTACATTGGCATGTTGTCCGTCTCTATCAAACCAAGTGTCCAACACATATCGTGTGGGGTTACCAGAGAATTTCTCAGCAATGATGTTTTCTTTACCTTGTGGCAAATTCACTGCTTTGTACAGGCTTGAAAAAAGTCAATTTGTGCTCAGTTAAGGAATAAAACTTTACTAAAAACATTTAGTTACCTAAAGATAAAACATCAACTGAGTTTAAAAAAACTTTAATTCATTTGAAAATCACCTTCTCCAGTCATTCTCTAATAACTCATTGCCTTTGTTTAAGCGTTCTTCTAACTTTCTTTGAACATGGTCAGGTAGATCTGAACAGGTCGTTTCAAGATTAAACTGGGCTGTGGTCTGCCCAGTCAGATGAGCATTTGTTGACTCCTGATAGAATTGTCTCTCATCAATTAGTTCGCCAGAATGAGTAGCTGACAAATCAGTGAGATGAATTTGACTTACAGGATATGTAAAGGGATAAATATTTATATGTAATAACAAGGAGGAATAATTATTACATTTTTTACATACCTTTTATTGACTGCCTCAAATCATGGGCAAGTTAGGCTGATTTATATCTAAGGTTTTGAAAAAACATTGGAATGCATCAGGCCCTAAACGCGGAAGCACATCACATATAAGCTTTTCCACTTTTTTGTCCAAAGATAGTTCTTGCAACACAGCTCTGATGTTGACACCAGGATTTCTGCTTGTGATCGCCACATTGTTGGATAAACTTTCAACCATTGGAGCGACATTAAGTGATTGCTTAAATGTGGACAAATGGCTCACAAGAATTCGACGATGGATGTCTTTCATTCCAGGCTCTTCAGTTTCTCCTAAGTAAGACAGTGGTAAAATAAATGGTTTAAAACTTTCTGATGTTTCTGTTTATATATAAGATGGTTTTTCATTAAAACTTCTGCAAGTGAAGTCGATATTTGCATTCTTATCATCTAGAGAATTTTACATCTTCAGAATGAATAAATAATAGACAGGCAAACAAGCTCACAGTACGTAATATATAACAGTATAAAAAATAAAAATGTCGTACTTTGCGTAGCACGTGGAAGTATATCATTCACATTAAGTCCGGCTAAGTCAGCCAAGTATTCCCCAACCCATCTTTGAACTTTAAGTGTCGCTCTAATAAAGGATATAAATGCTTCATCTCCTCGCCGATGCAGCAAATTAAGAAGTTCCAAAGTACGAGCTTCAGGGGTGGATTCTGCTCGAATTTTGTCTTCGCAGTTACGATCCAGAACGTCCGTCATTTGTGGCCAAACAGCATCAACCTCAAGATTTCGTTTGATATATTCCCTGTTTTTTCTTAAAAATTCGCGATGCGCTTCAGACATTGCCATTATCACCGAATATCCGAAATACAGGCACTTCTATTTCGTTGTAAACTATCTAGAGCTTTTCTAAACATTCCTTGGTAAAGTTACAATTCGCACTTCCCATTCATCGCAATGACAGTGGTAATGACGTGTGAAGGTTTTTCCCCCGCTGGGCCGCTTCCCCAAACTCGTCCAGCGTCTTAACCAGGGTCCTGCTCTCCCCTGTTTTTCAGCAAATTTTCATCTTTATGAAGCAGCTCGATGAAGAAGAAATAACATTATTTGTCTTCTTTTTAACATCAAAATGAACAAGCTATTGATAGTTTGGTCGGTAAAGAAGTAAATGTGTATATTGCGTTGCTGAATTATAGAGAAAATTCTTAGCCAACACTGTATTTTTATAATTTTTTGTTTTTGTACATTTGTACTTTAGGAATACAAATTGATGTGAATGACTTAATGACTGTTTATCAGTAATATTTTTAAGAGTAAAGTTAGTGTACATTATGTTAAATTGGATAGTATTGCTTGGTATTGCCCTGGTATTGCCGATTTGCAATCGATTCTGACCAATGATTCTGACAGATAGGATACAATGAACTGGTCATTGTTTGGTGGGTTTTCGAAATGGCCTAGTTTTTGTTAAAAAATCATTGGTTTTGTATGAGAATTTTGAAATTTAACTATGCTGTTATGTTGGTTGAGCTAATGTGCATTTTGGCATATACATGCTTCATACAAAGTAATTAATTTCACCCTTATAACCTTTGCTATCTCAGGTGGGATGACATGACTGTCTGTCAAGCAAAGTCACACTCTGTTATTTTTTAAGAAACATTTTCTTATAATGGTGAAAAAGCCATGGAGAAAAATCTTGTACGAAGAACAAAATTACCCAGATAATTATGTTGACGAGTCTTTCCTGTATGAACTGAAAAAAATGGTAAATATTTGATAAAATGGTAAAAGATCAATAATTATGCCTACGATTTGAATTGGATGGGTATAACGAAGTATATTTTTTAGTATACACGAGAAACTATCATTTCTGGATTGTCTCCAATGAAGCTGGAAGAGTTTCACAACAATTTAGCAGGTTAAAATCAGGCTATCTTTGACTATCATCCTGTTCGTCAATTCAATTTTTGGGAACTGTAAATGGTTGTTTGTTTACGACAGTGTCATATATTTTGCAAACAAACTTGATCATACTGACTTCGTCGTGACTGCTGTGTAAGATCGTCTTACTAGAAAAAATCTGAGCGTATTTTTACCATATCGAAAGAGGATTTTCAAAAAATTATGTTAACTATAGGTATTTGGTTATGCCTTCGAATGGTACGCAGTACTTTTACTTTTTACTATAGTATGTTTTCCTTTTAATACTTTCTACATTTAATGCACATTATTTACAGTTTTACTCAAGCCTAAAATCAAAATTTCAGCATTAATGTATACGATTTGAAAGCATTTGCTGACTTAAAGCAAAGGATACGCAATATTTACTATCGCATATGTGTTCTTTACAAGTTTGACAACATAATAAGCTATAAGCTTCTTTTTACCATACGATAAAAATATGCCAAAGTCTCTGAATCACCATGATTCGTAGGTACTCTTCACTATTTTTGTATATCTGGCAAATCTTTAATCTCGTCTAAAGATTTTTGACTATTGCTAGTACTATCACACACGCTTGAACCGTTATTTTCAGTTGCAAAAGTTAGAAAATGATGCACCAGATACAAGTGGAGAGATTACGGTTTTTGGTAGAATATTTAAGAAAAGTGACACGTACACAGCATTAGTTTGTTGTTACATAGCTATTTACCGTTAAGATCAGGGTAATCAATAACAGCTTCGCTTTTCTTTCCCTTGCCTTCTTCAAGTTTTACAGGATGTGCACTAACTAAAAAATTTTGCAACGGCAATATACAGAATTCAAAACATACATGCATTAAGTCACTAAGGTCTGTCACATTCTACCAAATAGACATATTCGGTTCCATTGTCTTCTTCTAAGTAGTGATAATTGACAACAAACTTCAATTCCTTTGCGCCTAATTTATTTAAAATTTCTCCGTGACATATGTGTTAAGATATGCTCTCATATTCTTCCTGTAATTAGTAAATAATTAAGTCAAGTATAACTAACTAAATGATTATTTTAAGAGATATTTATGTGCAATAATCACAATATTTTTTAAAGTTCCTAATAGTTTCTGTTATTGCAAATTAACCACATTTAGTAAAGAAACAAATAAATCCATACGTTATATCTTGTATATATAGAAGTAGTTTAACCATTGTAAGATAGATCGTAGACCATAGACATTGAAGTTGAACATTAAATGTGATCGTAATAAAGTAAATGGTTTGAACCCGGGAGTAACGTTACATGTTTGTAAATGTCGATCGTCCAGGTTGGTATAGTACTGAGAAGGACTGCTTTTGTTGTTGTTGACTGACGTTTCGACAACCTTAGCGGTAGTCATCTTCAGAGTCAAATGAGGAGTAAACTGTCCTATACAAGCATCATCAGCGCTATACATAAATTTCGTTGTCGATGCCTAAGAAGCGTAATGCTTATATTATAATTGTTACGTGTAAATAAATACAAATACTGTATTTTACAACCAATCGTTTAGCTTTACACAAGACAGGTTAACTGTGCTCACAAGGGAAAATCTAACTGCTAAAAAATTAATACACACGTATATAACCTCAGGTATCATAACTTTGCAGATATACATATATAATAATAGAAAGAAAAGTGCAAAATCTATCAATTAATTATATTTCAGTGGCACAAATGTACATTTACATCATTGCTTCCTACATAGTCATAGTGATTAACTGATTAGCAACCTATGCAAAAACAACCACTAACAGTCATCTTTAATCATTATTCTGTAATATTATACCAACCTGCAAAACGTCGTGGCTTCAGTGGTTTTGTATCAAAACAACTCATAACCGCATTATATTTAAATATCATTATTGGTAATGATGAATAAACTTTGGTAGTCATCATCATCATATCTATTCGCGCCAAGGGGCGATCCAAACTCGGGCTGGAAGTTTGGAAGTGTTGCGCGTGTTGTAGCAATCAGTCGAAATCAGGGACGGCACGTGAAGCCTTGCTACTTGTCCCCAACTTTGGTAGTGAATTAAACCTAGGTGAGAATATCTCAAAATATATCCTATAAATCGTCAACACAAAACAATTGTTTTCAGCATGCAAGTACAATAAAAATAATATCTTCTTTATTACACCGTTCCATTATTTTATTTATAAATAATTCTTATCAACATATATAAGGATATTGCATGACCATACGAAACAAAGAATATGAGAAGTCTTCAAAGAGATAAACAACTAAAAGACTTTATGCCAAGTGAAGATTGTTTCTATAACGATGAGATGTCTGAAATTGAATGGATCTAAAAGCATTCTCAAAACGTTGTGTAAGATGACCTAAGACATGTAGTAAAAAATATAAAGATAAAAAGCTCCAATGCTGTTTTACTAACAGCAAAGATTTTCACAAAACAATGTTCTGCTCAACAACTACTTTTGTTAAGAATACATGTATTTGCAAAAAGTTCAATTGTTTCAGATCTACTCCATATTTCAAGCATAACATAATTATGGATTTTCATTCTTACAATGGAGAATATTTAATTCGGTAAAAGAATAATTATATAAATATTTCTCTGATGTTATAGGGCCAGCCGTTCGTGAAACTATTACGAACTCTGCCAAGGTAAGCAGCACATTTGAATAGGTATTTTTCCATTATCGCCATTATGGAAATTGTAGGAAATCAACAAGCAATACCTGATACTTTATACACAGAGTTACATATAGTTTGATTTAATTGCCATAGACAAATGTACTGCTTACCTCGGCAGAGTTCGTAATAGTTTCACGAATGGCTCGCCCTATAACATCAGTCAATGAAGTTGCAAGCCTTTTGAAGGAATCGGCGGCATTCATTGAAAACCAAAATCCTTCCTTTGTATGAAGCAATCGTCAATAAGAGAGTTCACCAAACACAAAGCGCGCATAGAAATTCGGTTGGAAAAAACCGCTACCTCTCGGAAGACATAAAAATCCAAAAGGCTTATCATGTTTTGACTTTTTTTGCTTCGCCAAGTGTATCAAAATTATTTTGGTTATTATTGAATATGATCCCCCCCTAATTATTGATCCCCGGCGGTGCCTGAAACTTGTATGCCGAAGGTTGATCTGAATTGTCAAAAGCTCTTTTGTGACGACGACATTAACTTAAAACTGACTTATTTTGTGTTGTTCAACACCTAAACTTTGTAAACTATAGCTTTGGAAAATCGTTCAGTTTGCACAAATGCTTGTTAAGCTATTTTTATAGTTATTATGGATATTATTATTATCTTACACGAACAATCTCATGAAGGGATTTTGAATCGAAAATGCTTAAAAATATGGGGCGCAAGGAGAAGTAAAATATCCTGAGATGACGAGATAACAAGGAAAAGCATAATCAAGGAGTATATGTTGAATGTTAGAAAGTATATCACTACGTATGGAAGATACAATTTATAAGTGCCTTATACAAAAATTTGATAGTATAACTTACTTTCATAGTCGGGGTAATATTCCGCTCCTTCACCTTTAGATTCGTAACGTTCTGTCAATTGAAAAGTCACCAAACGTGTGACAGTATTTTAGTCAATAAAATTCGACTCAGAAAAAACCCAAAACCCTTTCCGTGATTATTAACCTTAACATAGATGAAAATTTATAAAAATGAAACATACGCAGGAAGAAAATTTTCAGAAATTGTACTCATCCTTGTTAAACGTTACTTGTATCAATGTTTTAAAACATCCAACTGTATGAAGTTAATCGTCAAAAATCTACGATAATCATTTGATGCACGCCAAATAAGAGTGTTTTTTTTTACAAATTATTGCCGAAACAAAAATATTTATCATAATAGTAGCAAAGTAGCTACATCTTAGGGGAAAGCTTATTATTCACAGATTCTAAAAATTGTGATTACCCAACAATACAACAAAATCACAAAAAATTTGTCACAGCAACAAGGTAGCTATAACAAGGTATAGAAAAGACTACTATCGTCAAGTTTCATCTTTATACACTTGATTTAAAACAAATTAAGTGCAATGGTTTACTTTCACCAATTATGACGAAGCTATCACAATCAGAGACAGCTTAAACTCATTAAGGCAATGATGTCTTTGTCAATGTGAACGTAATTGGAAGTTACTTTTTTCCGTACAAATCTCTACCAAGATATTTAAAAACATAAATCAAAACACAATCCGCTTATTGTAATCACGGCAAATGAAACGTTTTATTGTATAACTGTTTAATGTTTGTGATTAACCATTGATTGCAGTCGACTAGATTTAAAAAAAAACAACATGAGATTCTAAATTTTGACAACCAAATTAAACAAGGAGCTACCATGCAACACCTAATGAGAAGAAAAAAACCTTAAAGGTATTGGCATGTAAGATATACAGTATTAGAATTTAGAGTAGTCCGTTCATCTAAAATACAAGAATTCATTGAAAAATGTGATATTACGCGTGTCAATGACACACTTCATTGCATAACTATTTAAGATGCAAATATTTAAAATAACAAGAAAAAGATCTTTGTTCATTCGATACTAGCGATACCACGAATTTGTCTATTTTTACTTTCCTATTATCATTCTAATCGAATTTTTCCTGGTAAATGTTCAAATGGTAAATGATATTACGCGTGTCTATGACACACTTCATTGCATAACTATTTAAGATGCAGCTATTTAAAATAACAAGAAAAAGATCTTTGTTTATTCGATACTAGCGATACCAAGAATTTGTCTATTTTTACTTTCCTATTATCATTCTAATCGAATTCTTCCTGGTAAATGTTCAAAATTATTTTTTGTTAACTGTAACTAATAATAGACTGAAAGATATGTGTTAAAAACAGAAATTGGGGATTTGTACATGGAATTAAAGACTGTTACGCTCAAAAAAAAAATAAATTGAATTTGTGAAGTCTTTTGTTTTGTATAAAGGTAATAACAAAATGTTAAGAGTTTTTCATTTAGGCATTGGAAGTTCGATTTAGTCGCCAAGAGACTAACTTTCTATCTTATAGAAAAATCCAATACAAACTATTGGCGATTGAATCAAACGCCTGACGCGTGAAATGTTCTTAAAATGGTTATTAGGGTATTGAAAGAATTCACAAATGCAATCTAGAATAGCAACGTGTAGTTTTTATCCAGTAAAAAACATGTCACAACTATGTTTGTAAAAATTCTCTCACCTTGAAAAGTTTCAACAACCTCCACTTCTTCACCGTTTTTGCTTCCGTCTGACAGCACGAATGCCTTCTTCTGCAGCTCGTGACCTTGAGAGAAATAAATATTTCTTTTACAATGTAGCATTTCAAATTCAAAAGATCATAGCTGGAAAAACATGCTTTATGGAGATTTCTCTAAGCAGATTTCGTAAATGATTGCATTTCAGTATGCTCACAATCGTAAAGTTGAAATGTGTTTGAAAAAAGTATTGTCTACAAATAAACAGTTATTACAAATAAACATTAATTCCAATAAATCTTGCGTAAATCTACCTATAGCAAAACACAAATTGTTTATGAATGGACTGTTTCTTAAATTATTTAATTGGAATTTTCTTTATATCATACTGGATAATGGCTTGGGCAGCAAGAAAAAATCCTTACTTTATCGTTTCTGTCACCATTTTGTTGACCTTGCAACCTTGCTCATGAAAAAACTTCGGACATTCTGTGAATTTGACAAAATGCATTAACAAAAATTGGTACGCTTGCGTACACGTGGGAAGCCTGTAAGACAAGAGATGCAAAAAGATTGAAACAAGTGGAGTTGCAGTCACTTTAACACAGGCTAAGAACTTTCTAGTATGCATAAATTTAACAGTTCGCAATTGTTATGAGACCATCCGGCAATTGCGATGAAATATGAGTTATGTTTGATCCCATTTATCTATGCTTCAAGACCTGATATTTAAATTCTGTTTAAACAATATTAATATTTTGAAACATTGAATTCATTGATTGACAACTTGTTTTATCATTATACTTTGAACTCCTGATAATAACAAAAGAATTGTTATTATTTGTGGGGGATTGAAAAAAGGTTTGAACTTTTTGTAAATAAGAAATATGATATAAAGGCAGTGCATAGAGTGTCATCACAGACATGATGTCTGCCACTCTCTTGTTTTGCATAGCCTAATTTCTTGGACAAATAAAATAACTCACCTTCAATGTTGCAAACAGACCAGTGAGACCTCTCCCAGAAAATTGTACAGCTCAATATTAGTGCAAACTAGATAGACAGTAATGAGTAATTGTAAACAAACATTAAAAATACTCATTGCAGATACATTTTCATTCAGTGACTGTGTCCAAATTATGAAAAATACGCATGAATTTAGCATAATAATAATGGAAACCAACGATTATATACTTTTTTGGAGCCCATTTGCAGATAGTTGAGGTGTTTTCAGATTGCATAACAAAATGTGTCAATGAAAACTATTAGTAAGAAATAGCTTTAGGTGAACTTATGTAAGGAATTCTCTTTTCAATAATACAAAAATCAGGTGCACCTTTAGGTGAAAATATGATCTTTGGCCAACTCTGGCCAGCAAGGGTGCGAATTTTTCCAAAGCATTTTTTCACAACAGAGGAATGTTTTTAGGAGAATGGGCCTGAAATTAAATAAGCAAATACTTGATTTAATAAAGTTCGATATAATTACTGGTAAACAAAATAATAGCACATAATAAATGATTAAAATTTCTCAACTAAATAAGTCTTCATTTTCAACATATCACAAGTGCTTGATACCTTCATATCAATCACCAACAATTTACACATAAATTCATTCACTTTTCCTTGAGCTTCAAAGAAATAATCACAAACAAATCCTAAAACACTTCTCCAATGTTTTTCCAGAAATATATCCCACAATTACCCATGACATCATTTTTGTCTAACCTTGGACATTCGTTTAGTGGACTGTTTAATGTCATGGCATTTTTTTTTTTATCTTAGTATAAATTTTAAATGTAAATATCAAAGCCCAGCAAAGTACTTTTAAAAGAGCCATTTAATGCATAAAAAGAAATATATATTTAAAAGTGTATCGTTTCATCTTGACTCTCAAGACATCATCAGACAATATTAAATTACAAGTATAGAGGGATATATATATAATAGCGGACCAGTCAACCCCCCTGGTGGGGATTAATACTGGCCAGTATACAAATGTTGTTTGTTTGTTTTTGTTTTATATATAATAGCGGATATTAGTATAAATTGCATTAATCATGTCAGGTGATACCACCAATTAAAATAAGCCTTCACTTTGTAGCCCTTGTTCAAGCTTTCATTTAATATCATACTGCAACTTATCTCACTATATCTCATTCAAATTTAATTATAAATTACATACTTGAATAATTACAAGCTAATATGCACAAAACCAACAAAAGAACCTGAAGGGGAAGTTTTATCTATAACCATTAACCAATACCTGCATAAAACTATTTTCATTTAAGTTCATTTTGTAAATATTTATATTTTTGCTAACATTTAATAAAGATGTTTCCATTTGAAAAAAATTCAAAACATTCATCTTACTTGTCCCCAGTTACTTTCTTCAGTCGATAATAAAACTTATTATTTTTCCATGGCCTGATGTCTTTTGAACAGCCATAAACGTCTGCCATCCACAGCAATCAAACACAAGTTCCTCAACTGCATAAATGATTGGTGTAAACTAACAAACCAAGAAGGCCTAGAGAGGAAATTTGATCTATAAAAAACATTAACCCATATATATCCATCATATATCTCAAATCTACTCACATTGAAGCGTTGATGATAAACAAACTGTGAATCATTGTGATATCTACATATACTAAACCTATAATAATATATTTCTCGTTTACTTAACTAACTTGGATGATTACAATACTATTTTCATGTGAGTTCATTTCGTAAATATTTACTAATTTTATTTATATTATAAGTACAAAACCAAGAGAAGAGCTTTGAGAGCAAACAAATATAAAACCAATACATACTGTCACTACCGACTCACCCTGAATGGTTGATGATAAAAAAACTATGAATCATTGTAAAATCCACAGATAACAAAACCTATAAAAATGTATTTCTCCTTTACTTAACTAGCTTAATGGTTATAAAACTATTTTCATGTAAGTTCATTTCGTAAATATTTATTTATATTATTGCTAACATTTAAACAACATTTAAAAGCGATGTTTCCATATAAAAAAATTAAGATTCATGTAATCATCTTACTTGTCCCCAGACCACTGAAGACTCAACGGCCTTTACCAGCTACCTTACCTAACTTATCTTTAATTATGGTCGTGAAGATTTTCGTCTCAATCCCATGATCCTAATTGATAACAAGTCAATGAATTGTAAGAGTCCCAAACAGTTATAAAATATAACGACAGATGAAATACCATGCACTGGGTACAAGGAGAGATGTTCTGTTTCAGTCGATTTTAATTTTGTTAAGAAAAACGTATTTCGAGATAGGAATGGACCGTGACTTCCTTCAGTTTTTTATGCACATGCTACAGAGTCCCCGGAATCTACAAACTTCTAAAACCTTAAATATAGACTGCATTCTGGAAAATAACTTTGTTCAAATCCTGAATTTAATAAATAAGTCTCATTCTACTCGCTACGAACGCCCTGCAGTGTGCAAGCTGTTCGAATTTTGAAAGCTGGTCATTTGCATCATACAATATGATTTATACCAAAATGCTGGCAACTTGATTCTATTGTTGTATGAAATCTTTTTTAACTTAACATTAACAACAAAGTGCATGTCACTTAATTTTATCAGCTGCTTTTCCACCCAACTGAAACTCGCAGTCTGGCACTGTAAAGTATTTACTTTGTTCTAATGTTATAAAATAGATTTGACTATGTTCTCGTGGAGTTTTAAGAAAACATATATCAAGGAATAATTTTCTACTTCTTTCCAGCAACCCAGTAAATACCTTTGCATTGACGCAAGAAAAGAGACGATCATAGCTGAGCCATCAAAAACACAATTGGCGACAAAAACTGGTCCACATGATCTACCATTTAATGTTAAACTAAAGCATTCACGAAAAAATATACGACCAAACAAACATATGATTAAAAAAGTGAGCATGTATTTTCATTTACACTACGATACTCTTCAGTATTAAGAATTACAGGTCGATCACGGTTTGTCTCAGAAAACGATAATCAATGATTGATTAATGGTTATTGATTACACATTTAAGTGTAGTGTACAAAGAAAAGTTAAAAACAAACGACAAACCCGATTGCTAATTACAAAATAACATTTCTGTTTTGTTTTCTTTAGACGACCAACCCCAACAGCCATTGCAAGTTGAAAACAAGACTAGCAATAGAATATGTTCGTAGTCTTCTCCCGGATAAACCACCACAAGATCGTCCCGTATCTCGACAAAATGGTTTAAGAAAAAATGGACCGTTGAAGACTCTCTTTTTCCCGTCAAGATTTCTTTCTGAGCCTAGCGTTGCCAAATGTCTAGGCATCCAAAATGTAAATTCCCAAATTGAGGATTACGCTTTTCTTGAAAAATCTTATCGAGGGCCTTTTTGGAGAGCTAAGTAATTTTTTGTTAGCATCTCTATATTGAGATGAGCAGATATTTCTGCAAATGAAATGTCGCAAAGTTTTATCATCATTTTGTTTAGCTTGGATTTTTTGTGCTATTCACTTCTAGATTGCTTCAAGAACTCTTTCGATGGTTTTCAAGTTTATGAAAACGTCCAAAGTCCGGATGTAACAAGGTTTTCTTCAGCGAGCCAACGAATCTCTCAAAACATCTTGACCGTTGATCTTCGTAGGCAGTCGCTGGCAGAACAATGTGAAACAACTCAACTAGATCATGGTGATGGTGTAAAAGAGCATGATAGAAATGACTGCACAAAATCAACGAATCATTTCTATAAATGAAGAAGCAAATGACAACGTTATTGATATTCATGATTCTAATGCTTCCAAACAGGCAGCTGGTGTTGATGTTTGGACTGGTCAACTTTCTAAAGGTGAAAGGGATTTAGATAACAGGAAATCACGTAACACAGATCCTTTAAATAGAATCTATGATGCAGATATTCATAATGTTAATAGCTCACATGATGATAAGGACAATCATCTAAAATCAACTCACTGCAATGTGGAATTGCAGTAAGGAAACCCGTGAATAAGCTATCAAGGTAAAACTTTAAATTGAAAACAAATAATCAGGAAATTTCATAGAATATTCACAAACCTTGTTTTTTATTTAGAAATGAAAAAGTCTCCGATTTCTCTCGATGGAAGTTTGAAGTCAACACGAGCCCGAAATTGGGTCTTTTTTTGTACTTTGCATATGGTTTGAATGTGACTCAAAACAGGTATAATGATTTGTAGCTATTGTCATCTGTACTTAATACAAAATATCTTTTGATTTGACGAATTTGGGGCTTGCATTTAGGTTGTCTATACAACTACGGTGCAAAATAAGATCACGTCTTTGGGGATTGCTATTTGGCTACAGACTTTAATAAACGAGGTCAGAAATAACAGAAGCAGTGTCTTTAAGAGAGTTTTCAAAATCAGTTTTATTGCCATTAACGCTTAGGTGCAACTCTTTCCAAACGTAGTCCAAGATCCTGAATGTTCCGTAGAAGGTTGCGTTTATGAACTATCGTCAGAATATCTACCGCTTTTGAATATATGTATTGCTTCTCCAAAGGTAAACCAACCACTTTTAAATTTTCCCTTGACACTTAATTTGTTAGTCCTCCGTCTTCTTTCAATCAGCCTAACGAAAATTTTTTTTGCAATAATAACAGGGAATCAGCATTTACATCCGTGCAGGCAATATATCTAATACAAAAGTTGAAAATTCAACCATATACTGTCCAATTTGAACAATCAAATAAGCAAATATAATGTATAAATCTATATCAATAATTATGCTTCTCTAGCATTACAAGAGACTGGTTCTACCTGTTTGGATGTGTAAAAATCCTGTACGATTTGAGCATGGTATATGTCAACAATGTGTTGCTGCAGTTGTTTATGTTGCTCAAGAAAAATATATCTCGCCAGGTGAGTGAAGCTTTCGTTTCCTCTTACATACCAAAAGCTATTTTCTTTTCATGATTTCATTCCCAACTTGCAATATGATTTTGAATGCAAAACTCATTGAAAATTCAAACAATGCCACACAAACTCGGGTTTTATGAAAGCCAATAAAACCAAGCACAAATAAACTTATCATAGGAAGACATGATGGAAGGCGTTTTACCGAAATTCAATTTCTTTTCCTAGATTTTGTGCAACTAGATACTTCATTTACCTTGAAGTAGTACTTTATAAGAACTGATTTACTTACTCCGAACTAAGTTGAATATTTAAAAGTTTCAGTATAAATCACGCTTTCGCCCTTTGAGAATACTTTTTAAGTAACCAACATGAGCGCAAGTCAACACGTAATGCTGTTCATCATACAGCAGAACAAAGTCAACGCGCCATAAATTGATCTATTGGGCTCATCATCTCGACTTACCATAACATTGTTGGATAGCTGTTGCATTTCTATTTTCTTACGTGGGTCAACATAACGTAATTCGATGTAATCTGAAGCTTTCTATTCAAATTTGTCATCGATTTCTTGCTTTAAAAGATCCTCAGTCTTTGATTCGTCAACTTCAAGATACATGTGACGATAATTCAACTCATAAGTAGGACGTGCTGTACCATACTTGCCACAAAGCCAAGGAAAACTGCAAATGTGGAAAAGTGAAGATATTCGATGCCTTTTCCTCGTGGCAAATAAGTCAAAATTGACATAAAAGCGATAAAAAAGATTTACCTTTTCAAATTTTCATGGACGCTCTGTTTAATTTTGTGATCCTTTGTGAGAAAACGTTTTTTAAATTCGACTGTGTTGGGAGTGGAAGGTTCATCTACAAAATATTACACAAAATGAATGTCACTGGACTTAGAATCTCCTAAAACACAAATATCAAATCTACCAGTTTTTGAAGATGACTTGAAACTACGAGAAGTAATTGAACTCAGAATTTTTTCTGTGCTGGCACTGGAAGGTTCATGTACAGTTTCAGAATATCAGTTTCATCTATTTCAAAAATTGTACCTGAGGTCTGTGAAGCTTTGTATAATGTGCTGAAGGAAGAATATTTAAAGCCACCCACAATAAAGCAACAATGGTTACACATTGCTGATGAATTTAAGTGCAAATGGCACTTTCCCCATGCAGTTGGGGCCATTGATGGTAAACATATCAATTTGTGTGCACCTCCAAACTCAGCCCCTGAGTACTTTAACTATAAAAAACATTTTAGCATAGTCCTCTTGGCTATTGCAGATGCAAATGCTAAATTCATCTCATTTGATCTTGGAGCCCCTGGCAACCAGTCAGATGGAGGAATTTTTAAAGACAGTCACCTTAAAAACATATGCAAGACATGCTATTTCCCACAAGCTGAAGAACTAAGAGATACATTATTGCCTATACTTTACTTTCTGCTTGGAGATGAGGCATTTGCTTTGAATGAAAATCTAATGAAACCATATCCACACCGGACTGCAATAGGTGATGAGAAAGTTTTTAACTATAGACTTTCACGAACACAAAGAATTGTCCAAAATGCATTTGTATTGATGTGTAGTCGATTCACATGTAATTTTGAGAACATTGGAGTTGGATGTTTCACATGCAATGCAGGTGGTGAGGGCCTGTATGGCACTGCATTACCTTTTGATAAGTCAGAAGGACCAGTTTTACACACATCCAGGATGTATGGACCTTGAAGCTGAATTAGGAAATGTTGTGAATGGTTCTTGGAGAGCACAATTAGGCAATGAAAATGAAGTATGTGACATCCAGCCAGATGCTGGTGCCCGCCCATCATCAATTCATGCAAGACAAATCAAAAATGCTCTTAAAGACTATTTCTTTGAAGAAGGGGCAGTTGATTTTCAATGGACAATGACAAACTAAAGAATTATAACAAAGAAATAAATTTACCTTGTTTGAATATAAAAAATATATGAAAACTTGTTTTGATGGTTGATGTTGCCCTTTATATATATATAAATCCAGTAAAGTAGACTCAAAAACAAATGTGTAAGTTATTTTGATGTAGAAGTTTAATCATTGAAACATGTTCATTTAAAATACCCTAGTTTAATAAAACGTGGTTGAAACTGATTATTTATTGATTAATCTGCTTGATTAAATGGTTGTTATTGAGCCCGTGGGGCTCTGTGGCCTGAAAAATAGTCGATTGTATGGCAAACTTGATCGTCTTTGTATATCTTTATCTGCCAGACCACGCATTGCATGTGCCACATCTTTACCAAAATATCCCACTGGTCTTCAGGAGCAGATGTTGCTCATTTTGCCAACTGGTTCAAGGCAGATGCTGCTGACTCAAGAAATGGACTATGTGATTGTTTTCTCTTCTTTGAGCTTGAAATAAAACTACATTCACTTCCTGTATCTTCATTATCAATAATTGAATCATTTAATTGGTTTTCTCTGTCTTGTGCAAAACGTTCATCAATAGCATTTGTAAATACTTGACGATTGTGTGATATAACTTCATCCGAGAAACTGCACTGGTCAATAAACTTCCATTTTGATACATAAACTTCACTAGCCCCACTGCCTGTACCTTGGCTTTTTCTTATTTTTCCAACTTCTTCACTATAAAATGTTCTTAAGCTCTATCTTTGCTAAAAGTTTAAGCCAGAAATTTTATTAGAATAAACTTATTTGAATCCAAATAATAGCATATAAAGCTAAAGATGGATATGTTTTCCTTTACCAATTTTGGCATGCCAACAAGCTGAGTTAGAAGTTTGAACAAATTGCCATGTAAGCAGGACAAGACATTTTTTCTTTGCGATTTAATGTAAACCAGAGAGCATAAACAATGTTTATACATCGCTAAAATGCAATTCTTACGACTCCATTACAATCTTATCACTCACCTTTGATGCTTGGCAAATCAACGTTTGGCAGTTCAACTTTGATTGCCTGCAGTATTTCCTGGTAGTGTGCATTCTTCATATTTCTGTTTTTGTAGCGCTCACTTTTGGTACTCCAAATTTTCTCTCTTTCTCTGACAGTATCGAGCAACAAACTCACCACTTGATCGGGCCAGTTTGTCTTAGAACCCGACATGCAGTGTTGCCAGATGGGTAGCCTGCAAACCCGCCCGAGCTACCTTTAAAAGTAGCCCAAAAAAAGCCCAATTATATTTTGCAAGAAATAGCCCAAATTTGCATCAAAACAAGTAAAAAGTAGCCCAAGTTTTATTCACTAGCGAAGAAGTTATTTACAACAGTCGTGAGTATTCTATCTTTTACAATTTATTCACAGGCTTTTTATATATTTGGCTAAACAAGGTGCAGTTATTACAAGGCGGATAATGTACTTGAAATTTGAGTAGTTTTACGTAATTATAAAGTAAAGTGCGTAAGTTTAAGTAGCGCTTTGAGAAAGTGTAGGATTGGCTATTTCCTCTATTGCTAATACATAAATCTAGATGAATAATATACGCACGTTATGTTCTTCACTACAATATTAGCGCAATTGCTGTTTACCACGACAAAAACAAAAACACGTGGAAGCTAGATCATCAAAATTTTTTCCAGCCCAAAAAATCGCGCAAAAAGCTATTCCCAGCCCAAAAACCCGCAACCCGCAACCTCCCAAAATTTCCCGCAAACAGGCTTATAAACTAGCCCAATTGGGCGGGAAAACCGCCCATCTGGCAACACTGCCGACATGTTTTATTTTATGTGAAGCCTGGGATCTACTTCGCTCCTTGACATGTGCCACTTTTTATTTGACAGCCATCTACACTACCCATTTTTTGTATGTGATAATTTTTGTATGTGATAAGTAGACAATAAAAAGTATGAAAAAAAGGAACATACTCCCATCAACTTGAACAAATAGTTTTGTGACTTCGACAAAAATTCGTAAAGTTATCTATCAACAAAAGTTAGTTGCCAGTTCGAAATTTGTCGTTTTAGCATTCTATTGTACGAGTCAGTACGATACGTCACAACATTTTGTTTCAGACGCAAACTAAATGGTTTTCTACGCCTGAGAAATCACAAATTATTGATTTATGAATTATAAATACTAGAATGATAACTTAGGTACATTGTGCTATGAGTCTTGTGTAGGGACCGCAGAACAGGGGGAGCTGTAACCCATATTACCATAGAAATTTAGCCACCTAGTTAAATTTGTCCTCGGACCCCCAACTTATACCAGTTAAAGTTTGGGCAGTAGCTGTTGTGCGTATGTAGTGTTTGTAGATCGTGTGAATGTAAAACAAGAGCTGGAAAATAAATTGTAGCTTTGATACATATAACATTTTTTATAACAATGTAATTGATCATAAGTATTTCAAAAGAATCAGTTATGTCCTGCTAATCTAATTACAAATAAATAGTTTCAAATTTTAAAACAATCCAAAAGTGAGGTGTTGTGATTTACTGCCCAACACCGGATTCACCATTGTGGTGGAATCGCGAATTCTAAATGAATCATAGTTTACATTAATTTTGTCATAAGTGCTAATTAAAATTGATTACACTCAATAAAGTTATCTCATTGAACTCCAATAAGAGCATGAGGGTGTTTTTTTGAAAATTCCAGGAAGATATTATTTCCTTATTTTTAGAAAACGAAGGACCGACTTGACGATACCCGTCGAATCTAAAACATTAAATGTAATGTAAGCCTTAACGTTTAAGAAAACATTAAACAACAATAACATTAACATAGCATCTTACCATTTCTTACAAAATATTCCTCATTTTCAAGTTTCAGTTTTTTCAAAGCTTTGTCCAATTTTAAGCAAATAAAAGTCCTCGCAGGTTTGGCAAAACTAACTGCATCACCCTCACTACCGTCTTCATTACTCTCACTACCATCTTCATTACTCTCACTACCATTTTTATTGCCATCCCCTTCGACTTCAGCAACAGCATATGCAAACGGTTTCCAATCATCGTTTTCATCCAAAAAGCAAACAAGAGCACCAGAATCACCATCCTCAAAAAATGTCACATCACTTTGAACCTTGACTGCATTTCTAAACATGGTTTTTTTTAAATATTGGCACCAATAAGAATAATTGTTCTCTGTGATCTTACTATGCTTGGATTTGTTGTTCGCAGTAATGCGTGTGTGAACGAGTTCATTTTTACGAAAAACTCGTCGAGAAAGCTCGTCATTTGTATTTTTCAAATCTAATTGAAAGCTTTCCATGTATTTTTTAAGGCATCTGTTAAAAACTGTTTCACCAAAAGAAATAGACATGATGTCTGTTTCTTTATCGAACCGCAAAACCGCGTTGTAGCCAACGCCAAGTTGCACCTCACTGTCATTGTGAGAAGGTTTGTAAAAGTAATCCATGTTATATTTCATGAAATTAGGATTTACAGCATCGCGAATTTTTAACCAGTCTTTGCAATTGAACACGCCTTGGCAGTCAACAGAATCACTATCAACACCAACATGTGCGCAAGTTAAAGCAAAATACTGTTCTAATATGTCCTGCTATTTTTATTATAGAATTTTGTAATTATTTATATATTTATTCATTATCAGTTTTTTTGTAATCCTGTATAATCTAGTTAGAGGGCCACAGGTTTGTCAGCTTTTCAGCTGTTACGTGTCCCCCTCTTCAAATAAAGTCCTTATTAACACTTAGCAGTAGCTACCTTTCGACAAATCATTGTCAATGTACCACGACATACAACGTCATTTTGATCCTTTCTTGCAGCGCGAAAATCAGACAGCAATCGAAAATTTACTTTTTTAGGAGCTTTACGTGGCAAATCAATGTATTTCGAAGCTTCCCATCCAAATTCTGTATCAATCTCTTGCTTTATAATTTCATTCGATTTTTCTTGACTATCATCAACCATGACATATAAGTGAGGAAATGGCATCTTCTCGTTTGGGCCAGCTGTTCCATACTCTCCATGAAGCCAAGTGAACCTTAAAACAAATGTTTAAGCTCATATCAAGATGAAAATACGCTTTTGTAATACTGAAAATTCAAGTTGAATTTCTCCAAGAACTACATTTAAAGTATTTCACCTTTCAAGTACATCACAAACGTCAGCTTTAATGTTACTGTCTTCGTCAAGAAATTTACTTTTGAAGATTTTAAAGTGTTCATCCAAATTATCATCTGCATCTAAACACATGATAAAGAAAATAAAAGTGTATATCACATGTTACACTACACAGCTTTTGTAAAATATGAATAAAAAGTAGGTCGACAAACGGATAAAAGACGAAAAATGTCGGTCTGACTAAAATTTTGGGATATTTGATCCAATAAAGACACAATAAAGTTGGTCCCATGACGTAGAACACTCTCCCTCAAACCTTTCAGCGAGCCATAATTTATTTAGAATTTGCAGTTACGTAGCCATTTATTGTATGTGATTCGGTCTTGCAAATATTACATGCATGGTTATGCTAATACCGTGTGTTTGCAAAGAGGGAGTTGAACTAGTGAGTTGAACTACCTTACTTTGTGGTTTCTAATCTTTAGGTTGGAAAAATGACAACGTGGGTTTTATTGCAAGTTTTTCCGTAAAACTAATAATTCACTTTTACATAACACATCATAAATATATCTTGAAACAGTTATCTGTCACAAAAAAAGTCAAAGGAAACGGATAACTTAGATCCAACATCAGGGCATCTAGCTACCACATAAACGCTACATGAAACTATGTATTCGTAAACATAATTATTGGCTTTTATTGGCTATCAATAATCAAATAATATGTTTTAAAAGGATGTTTTCAACAATATTCTACTTAAGTTCATTTGTGTACGTGTAACGTATACATGCAACTGACACGTTGATCATGATGGTTTTCATAATTTCACTTTTAGCATCATAGCCAGTTTCCACTTTCTATACATATTGATCAAATTTATATGATAACAAAGTTTGTTGGCTACATATAACGATACCTTTTAAAATTAATTTATTAGGCTATATATTGTTGTTTGTATTTAGCGTTGCAAAACATGGAAATGTTTGGGCAAATATTTTTAAACAAAATTCTTTTGCTAACCTGGTTTTGATGTGGAAGGCGAAACACCAATCATGTCTTCACTGTTATTATCATCTAATAGATAAATCAAATTAATTTTTTGCAATGCAATTAAATAACATTACAGCATGATGACAAATTCTAAAACTCTCTTTTCTGACCCTTTACAAACGTATGAATGATACGCATGATATAAACGACTCTTAATTGTTTGTGTTTGACTTTTAAAGGGAATGTAAAGATGTTTGTGCAAATGTTTGCTAACAAAATACAATTTCTTACCAAGTACTGCTGTAGAAGGAGTTTTGTCAATGTTGTCATAGTCGTTGTCACTCATGGGAGATGGCAAAGATATCTTTTCGTAAGAAGCTGGAAATTAATGCATTATATTACACGGTTAATACATCATAGCAAGATAAAAGGAATACTTGCTGAGTTATTTCACTCTTCATTACATCTCACATTTTTTACCATTAACAAAAGTATGTGAATAAGGAAGATATAAACAAATCTCAATGGTTACATTGCATTCTTGTTTCTACTTAACATTTCAAAAGGCAATAAAGATTACGTTTGTGTAAATATTTGCATATAAAATTCCATTACTTACTAGGTCCTGATGTAGAGGCAATACTCGTCATGTTTGAGACACCACACATGTAGTTTTACAGCTTTATATAAAATGAATTGTTTGGATTCTTTCAAATAATTTATATCAAATAAGAAATAATTGTATTTTTCGTGTTTGTGTATACAACGACATCATACTATACACAACGCCTGGCTATTCATGTTTGACAGTGGCTTACATTGGACTCCGCCACAAAAGTCTTGTTGACAGTCATCCAAATTATTAACAACACCCGCATGAGCACAGGTCAAGGCATAGTATATATCATTCTTAAGGCAGAACATTGCCAATGTTCCAAAACTACTCTCGGTTCTTTGCGCTATAATTTTAGACAGCATTCGAAACTTTGCTTCTTTAAATGGTTTAGATCGTAATTCGATGTATTGCGATGCTTTCCATTTTAACTTTTCATAGATCTCATTTTTGATAGCAGCCTCCGAATTTTCTTTCTTAAAATCAACTGTGACATACAAATGAGGAAACGGCATCTTCTTGTTTGGGCGAGCTATTCCATACTTCCCACTAAGCCACGAGCAACTTAAACAAGAAACGACAACTACATATTGTCTAAAAACTATTTTTCTTAATGTTCCGACATGCACAGGTCAACATACATAATCGATATCCCATGAAAGAAAAATTACCTTTGTAGAGCCTCGTGAACGTCAGCTTTAATATTCTTACTTTTGTCTAGAAGTTTATGGAAGTTGACGTCATGATTGGCTTCTAAATATCATAAAAATATAATTGATAACTTTGGTGCCCCAACATTAACTACAATGAAACTTCCATAGAATAAGACATAAATAAGACTAAAAATTGACTAATCATATACATGGGATCATAAATTACTTTGCTCTGGATTCTGTGTCGAATACCTGTTTTGCAATATCATCTATTTAAAAATATCACAGCAGGAAGTACACTGATAAAAAGATTTTTTTGAGTGTTATCGCAGTGCGCTGCGTAGTGTGAATAAATATTTGGAAAATTTACAAGTATTATATTCGGAATAGAAAAAACTAGAATCCTGATGCAAATAAGCTTAATATATCTTATATGAGATGTTTTCAAACTTTGTTTAGAACGCAGGAACACAAAACAGAAAAGAAAATTTTCTCATACATTTTAACAGTAAGAATCATTTGTTCGTTATAAGTTATAACATACTTTCAACATATTGAAGACGCTGTATTTTTTAGTTACTTTAACTGCACGTAGCTAGAGTGCTCAGTTCCTAATTTTTAGAACGAATAAATGCTTTCAAATATTATGCTATTTCAATAATTTCACTGTTGTTAGCAGAGAAAGGAAGGTTTGTTATGTACTGCAGCAATTCTGACTAACTTTGTAAACTTTTCTATCAACTTTACTATTTGTTATTTAGTTTATAAAAGTTTTATTATCAAATGGTACATTAGGTTAACCAGAAACTCCAACTCTTGCTGCAATAAAAAAACGTTTACAAATAATTGCTGCAAGCAAAGCAGAGAGCTTCTATATTCTTATGTGTGTACGATATCAAGATTTTTATGGTATGTACAACCAGCAAAATATTATGAACGACGTCATGTTAAATTTTGCGCCATTCATCAAGGTGATGAAATGTACAGATGATATGTACAGGCACTTCGTTTTCTATTAGATATTTTTAGTTAAGAAAAAAGAAATTTTGAACAGTATTGTAACAAATCAAACGAAATAGACTAACCTACGATAAGACAAATGAAAAATCTCTTCAGACTATAAATTTCATAGATGAAATTCAAACATACCTAATAGTTTTTTCTAAAAATGGTATTTAGAAAAAGAAAAAATACATGCTAAGTACTTTAAACATAGCAGCTGATTAGTATCTGTATTTTATAGAAAATGAATAATGACATAGGATCTTTTACAGTTACTTGCTTAAAAACCACTGTAAATACGATATACAGGACTAATTAAAACAAAACTGATTAAAGTTACACAATGGTGGCATAGCAACTTGCTAAGAAATATGACGCTTTTTTCACGTTTCAAAAACTTTACAGTTTTTTGGTATTTCATGTGCTTTGTCACTACAATGTAGACACTCACGTATGTTCTGTTTTGTCATTACAGTGTAGACACTCACGTATGTTCTGTTTTGTCACTACAGTGTAGACACTCACGTATGTTCTGTTTTGTCACTACAGTGTAGACACTCACGTATGTTCTGTTTTATCACTACAGTGTAGACACTCACGTATGTTCTGTTTTGTCACTACAGTGTAGACACTTACGTATGTTCTGTTTTGTCACTACAGTGTAGACACTCACTTATGTTCTGTTTTATCACTACAGTGTAGACACTCACGTATGTTCTGTTTTGTCACTACAGTGTAGACACTTACGTATGTTCTGTTTTGTCACTACAGTGTAGACACTCACGTATGTTCTGTTTTATCACTACAGTGTAGACACTCACGTATGTTTTGTTTTGTCACTACAGTGTAGACACTCACGTATGTTCTGTTTTGTCACTACAGTGTAGACACTTACGTATATTCTGTTTTGTCACTACAGTGTAGACACTCACGTATGTTCTGTTTTGTCACTACAGTGTAGACACTCACGTATGTTTTGTTTTGTCACTACAGTGTAGACACTCACGTATGTTTTGTTTTGTCACTACATTGTAGACACTCACGTATGTTCTGTTTTGTCACTACAGTGTAGACACTCACGTATGTTTTGTTTTGTCCATACAGTGTAGACACTTACGTATGTTCTGTTTTGTCACTACAGTGTAGACACTCACGTATGTTCTGTTTTGTTACTACAGTGTAGACATTTACGTATGTTTTGTTTTGTCACTACAGTGTAGACACTCACGTATGTTCTGTTTTGTCACTACAGTGTAGACACTCACGTATGTTCTTTTTGTCACTACAGTGTAGACACTCACGTATGTTCTGTTTTGTCACTACAGTGTAGACACTCACGTATGTTCTGTTTTGTCACTACAGTGTAGACACTCACGTATGTTCTGTTTTGTCACTACAGTGTAGACACTCACGTATGTTTGTTTTGTCACTACAGTGTAGACACTCACGTATGTTCTGTTTTGTCACTACAGTGTAGACACTCACGTATGTTCTGTTTTGTCACTACAGTGTAGACACTCACGTATGTTCTGTTTTGTCACTACAGTGTAGACACTCACGTATGTTCTGTTTTGTCACTACAGTGTAGACACTCACGTATGTTCTGTTTTGTCACTACAGTGTAGACACTCACGTATGTTCTGTTTTGTCACTACAGTGTAGACACTCACGTATGTTCTGTTTTGTCACTACAGTGTAGACACTCACGTATGTTCTGTTTTGTCACTACAGTGTAGACACTCACGTATGTTTTGTTTTGTCACTACAGTGTAGACACTCACGTATGTTCTGTTTTGTCACTACAGTGTAGACACTCACGTATGTTCTGTTTTGTCACTACAGTGTAGACACTCACGTATGTTCTGTTTTGTCACTACAGTGTAGACACTCACGTATGTTCTGTTTTGTCACTACAGTGTAGACACTCACGTATGTTCTGTTTTGTCACTACAGTGTAGACACTCACGTATGTTCTGTTTTGTCACTACAGTGTAGACACTCACGTATGTTCTGTTTTGTCACTACAGTGTAGACACTCACGTATGTTTTGTTTTGTCACTACAGTGTAGACACTCACGTATGTTCTGTTTTGTCACTACAGTGTAGACACTCACGTATGTTCTGTTTTGTCACTACAGTGTAGACACTCACGTATGTTCTGTTTTGTCACTACAGTGTAGACACTCACGTATGTTTGTTTTGTCACTACAGTGTAGACACTCACGTATGTTTTGTTTTGTCACTACAGTGTAGACACTCACGTATGTTCTGTTTTGTCACTACAGTGTAGACACTCACGTATGTTTTGTTTTGTCACTACAGTGTAGACACTTACGTATGTTCTGTTTTGTCACTACAGTGTAGACACTCACGTATGTTCTGTTTTGTCACTACAGTGTAGACACTCACGTATGTTTTGTTTTGTCACTACAGTGTAGACACTCACGTATGTTCTGTTTTGTCACTACAGTGTAGACACTCACGTATGTTCTTCTTTGTCACTACAGTGTAGACACTCACGTATGTTCTGTTTTGTCACTACAGTGTAGACACTCACGTATGTTCTGTTTTGTCACTACAGTGTAGACACTCACGTATGTTCTGTTTTGTCACTACAGTGTAGACACTCACGTATGTTTTGTTTTGTCACTACAGTGTAGACACTCACGTATGTTCTGTTTTGTAACTACAGTGTAGACACTCACGTATGTTCTGTTTTGTTACTACAGTGTAGACACTCACGTATGTTCTGTTTTGTCACTACAGTGTAGACACTCACGTATGTTCTGTTTTGTCACTACAGTGTAGACACTCACGTATGTTCTGTTTTGTCACTACAGTGTAGACACTCACGTATGTTCTGTTTTGTCACTACAGTGTAGACACTCACGTATGTTCTGTTTTGTTACTACAGTGTAGACACTCACGTGTGTTCTGTTTTGTCACTACAGTGTAGACACTCACGTATGTTTGTTTTGTCACTACAGTGTAGACACTCACGTATGTTCTGTTTTGTCACTACAGTGTAGACACTCACGTATGTTCTGTTTTGTCACTACAGTGTAGACACTCACGTATGTTCTGTTTTGTCACTACAGTGTAGACACTCACGTATGTTCTGTTTTGTTACTACAGTGTAGACACTCACGTATGTTCTGTTTTGTCACTACAGTGTAGACACTCACGTATGTTCTGTTTTGTCACTACAGTGTAGACACTCACGTATGTTCTGTTTTGTCACTACAGTGTAGACACTCACGTATGTTTTGTTTTGTCACTACAGTGTAGACACTCACGTATGTTCTGTTTTGTCACTACAGTGTAGACACTCACGTATGTTCTGTTTTGTAACTACAGTGTAGACACTCACGTATATTCTGTTTTGTTACTACAGTGTAGACACTCACGTGTGTTCTGTTTTGTCACTACAGTGTAGACACTTACGTATGTTTTGTTTTGTCACTACAGTGTAGACACTCACGTATGTTCTGTTTTGTAACTACAGTGTAGACACTCACGTGTGTTCTGTTTTGTCACTACAGTGTAGACACTCACGTATGTTCTGTTTTGTCACTACAGTGTAGACACTCACGTATGTTCTGTTTTGTAACTACAGTGTAGACACTCACGTATGTTCTGTTTTGTCACTACAGTGTAGACACTCACGTATATTCTGTTTTGTCACTACAGTGTAGACACTCACGTATGTTCTGTTTTGTAACTACAGTGTAGACACTCACGTATGTTCTGTTTTGTCACTACAGTGTAGACACTCACGTATGTTCTGTTTTGTAACTACAGTGTAGACACTCACGTATGTTCTGTTTTGTCACTACAGTGTAGACACTCACGTGTTCTGTTTTGTAACTACAGTGTAGACACTCACGTGTTCTGTTTTGTCACTACAGTGTAGACACTCACGTATGTTCTGTTTTGTAACTACAGTGTAGACACTCACGTATATTCTGTTTTGTTACTACAGTGTAGACACTCACGTGTGTTCTGTTTTGTCACTACAGTGTAGACACTTACGTATGTTTTGTTTTGTCACTACAGTGTAGACACTCACGTATGTTCTGTTTTGTCACTACAGTGTAG